ATCGTCTCGACTATGAATGTAATCCAAAGACCGCAACAGCATCAATAATACCTAGTTTGAACAGAAACGGACATGCAAAACAAGCATTTAGTCCCTAACCATCTTGCAACCGTTAATTTTTATGATGCAACCATTCAAATCCAAAAGGTAACGGACAAAAATATTGTTAAAGTCATAAATGCCCATTTTGTTCCTTTGGCGGCTCGTAAAACGACCTTCGTTAATATTTGGTATTTAAACAATGAAAGCGACGGGTTGACTATAGGACAATACCCGCCAAAATATTTAGCAAACAAGATGAAATTACTTAACAGTTATTGCAAGGGTTCGTTTGTTGGCTTTTTATGCAACTTTATGATGGAGAAAGGCGTGCGATCGACACACTTCTAAAAAAGCCGCAGTAAAATGGCAATTTTTTTTTTAGTTTTGGCTTTCTCTTTTCATTGATTCCGCTTTTGTCTGCGTGGAATAAAATAACTATTAACCATGATTAGGATATACTAAAATTCATAAACAAATTTTTTTGTCAACACTAAACAAAAGAATATCCTAAATATATAGTATATTTTTGATGAAAATATATATATTTAAACTAAGAATATCTTGAACACCCCCTTTCAGAAATTAAAAAGCAAATAAAAAGCAAATAAAAACACACGCATTATGTAAAACAAGTGATAATAAAAAAAGTGTTAAATTTTGACACCTTAGTAATTTAAATATTTGTTATATCAGCGCATCTCGATTCGAAAGAATGTTGCACCTGCACACACCAAATCGCTGTATGAAAATCACGATTCTGGCGTAATTACACACCTTCCAATCTCAACGTGGTAAATGCGTTATAAAAAATACACGGGGCGAAAACAAACATTAGTTTTTTACGATAATCGCTTGGCGTCGCGTCGGTGATACATTTTCGGATCACTTCGTGTTAGGGTATAATTTCTTCGCGCCAATGCAAAGTGTTATATCATAATTTTACATGTCAAATCACTGGTCCTGATACCAAATTAATTCACACGTGTTTCTTACGGTCTGCCCGTTCCAGGACAGCTGGCTGCAATTTTAATTTTAGTAACTAACATATATATATGTGTAATATATAGGTATTCTTATATAATAAAATTAAAATTGTTTTATTACGTATACTAGATAAACTTACTTGTCTTGTCTTGTGTTAAATTCACAAAGAAAAGTCCATTCGTATCGGGGTTAAGTCTCGAGGTTAAAAAATGCTTGCAAGTAGCTTAATTCTAGTAAATTTTTAAATAAAACATGACATATTATCAAAATTTATTTGCGACTCGTTTACAAAAATACATTTATAAAATCATATACACATGGAATTATTACACTTAGGTATAAAATAAAACAATTTCATCAAATGTTTTAATAACAGATGAGATTCAAATTAATATATGAATAAAAAAAAATACCGTTAAGAATTATTACTATTTACTTATTATATAACTGAGAGGGTACAAAATGGTAATGTATGCAAGATAATTAGCTAAAGCGCAGATTTCATAGGTAGTTTGATACTCTTAATAGCGATGCGATCTTCAATCTTGAATTAGTGTACCGCGTGACTCCAATGCGTTGAGAGTACTACCATTGGCTATTTGACAAGATTTAAAAAAAACATTTCAGGTTATTTAATTAAATTTTTAAATTTGGTTTGACATTTTTTTAAATTCAACAAGCGAAAACACCTTTAACCTGGCCATTTTGTGTCACGTGGCTGCGAAATAAAAATCAATATTGTAAAATATGGATTTTTGCTAAATGAATCATTTACAAGTTACTCCATTATTGTTACTGTCAAATAGCCTACAAAAACTTCGAGTATCGGAATCGCGATCACTACTGGGAGTTGGCCGCGTCCCTGTTAAGTACATTAAGTACGGGCTTTCTATATAGATTATATCTCTCAGGCCGAAGCTCATCAGTTCTATAAAATATATTAATACAATTCCAACGATGAGATCGAAAAGTTTTTACATAATTTTTTTCCCGAGTTTGGCAGAACTAATTCATTGTAGAAATACGGAGAGAAAATGTACACTCCTTGTATGTATTAGGCAACATATTATACCTTACGCCAACATAGGCGAAGGTAACATAAACAGCGCCGTGAATTAATATATTTTGCAGCAAAATTAATTAGTAAGGGCACTGGAACAAAGGTTGTATTAAGGCTCTCAAACAAAACCCTTTTTGTTGAATCACGTATTCGTAACAATCGAGACGCAAAACTGGACAAACTAAGTATTCTATCTAAAACATTATAGCGTGCTATCAAATGGTCGTATTACAAGTAAAGTACCAAAACCTTTCATCCTTTTTTATTACCTAATTTGTGTAAATTGTATACAATTTTAGTATCAAATCAAACAAAATCAAAAATCTAATAAATATAAGTACCTACTGATAAATGATAATATTTGACACCGCTCTGTGGTCGGAACTAACGGAAACAGGAATACAATACGAACGAAAAAATTATGTTATGTATAATCGTCATGTTCGTTCTGATAATTATTTTTTAAATAAAATCGTAAAAATATTTGTTTGACGCTTTATGATATTGTTAAATAAGTATTGGGATTCTATAAATTACCTTAATGTAATGGAATGGTGAAAATCAGCTAAGGACCCTATGGATCGCATTAAATGAAACTTTATTGCAGTAAAGTAAATTGTACTAAACAAGAGTAAAATGCCTCCTCCAGTATACAATGTTTCTTAATATATTTGATTTATGTATTTAATTTTTGATATGTTTTGACCGAAATGTAGGGGCTGTTTTAAGTTAATATTCATCAGTTTATGAAAATATACTTCCCTTATGTTTGGTAAATTCAGAGAAACAATTATTAGCCCATATAGTTTTGGCAACTTTTGCCAATCCTAACTTTTGATATGAATAACATAAATTAAATATATTTACATATTACATATCCTTGTATTCTGAAGTTATAAGTGTCATGTCACTGCCTTTGGCTTATAAGTTACATGTTTGGATTCATTAAAAGCTAAAATAAATTAGAATCAACAGCCGTTGTAAAATACAATTGTTATTTGTACCAAGTGTAGATTAAGTCTAATTAATATCTGTGTGTGACCTGTCATTATTTGACAGTTCAACTAAGCATGAACATTTTATTTAATATCCCATTCGATTGATTTTGTCTTAGCATTGTCAGTGTCAAACATCGGACAAATATGTTTGTCAAATGTTTGATAGTTCAACACCAGTTTCAACTATCCAACTTCAAAATTTTTTTTTTTACGTTTCGAAATACGGACCTAAAACTGTTACTTTGTGTTTAAATTATATGACATAGAAAAGCAAATTACTTAACATTGTAATCTTGACATAATACATTCAAACTTTATAATAACATTAGAGGGTAGTAGCATACATATTTTCTTGATGTTTATACTACCAGGGACAATATTTGTAGTTTCTTATAAACTTCGTTATTTCACAGTAGATGCGTCTTGCAAAATACAGTCGGCTTGCCATGCATATAGACAATTTTATCGCGTTTCAGTTTATTTCCTATAGTATCAGTAGTCTGTGCGGAAAGAGAACCGGCGTGGCAGTATTGCGTTGTTTTCATATTAATCAAGATTATCGAACTTTAATGACGTAAGTGTTGTCGACATAAAAAAAAGGAATTTATCACTGTAACCTCAAATTTCGAGACAGTTACTGTTCACAGACTATCATATAAGTTCTACAAAATAGTTCTGTCAAAAAATTCTAATTTTTACCGACTTTCGAGGTAAACAAAAATAGAAACATTCTAGAACGCGTCCATAGCGGGCAGAAATCTAAATTTCTTCCTTGACCCTGATAGTATTTACAAAATTAAAAAAAAAATTAGATAAGTTTTATTGTAAGTGACACGTTCGCCATTAATCACAGTCGTTCGTTTAATACTTATTTAAAAATTATATAAAAAGCTAAAGCTACAAAAAGGAATCAATTGTTAAATACGCATATAGTATCATAACTGATTTCAAAAAACTCATAATTCATCGTAATTTAAATTAAGAACTCGATTTTTTAAATTATTACTAACTATTTCGTTTTAAGAGTACAAATATAATCAGGTAACTTAAATGGAATGCGGTTTTATCGCTAATAAGCAATCTGTTCCAGGCAACCCTAGAAAGACAAAATAAAGGGAAAGTGCACGAGTTGTTTTGTTTCAAAGGGGTATACTATCGAAGGATGATTGTCAGATGAAATCTAACTAAATCCTTAAATATTTTAAATTATTAAAAATTAGGTTTTCCCACACTTAACTGAATGTTAATTTGGCAATAGTTTGATCCTAAACTGTTAATTTGGTCAGCGTCAACTTTTTTTTGAATAATCTTTATCTAAAAAAAATTCGAAAATAATTTTAATATCGAAAAACAAAATAGCTTTGTTCTTCCATTTGTAAAGTGGAAGTTTTTTAAATACCTGTTTATAAATGTACTAAAACAAGTTCATTTTAATTATTGGTAAAGAATGTGAAGAATTTATTTCATTTTGAAGTCGGTTAATACTCTAAAAGGAAAAATAACAAACCACTAAGAAAATTCATGTAACATTTCAGCATCAGCATATATCTTTAAAGAACATCATATAACTCATTATTGCATTACAATAAATAAGCAAATTATATTTTAATAGTGAAAATTATCGGCATCAAAAAAAACCGTGGCAAAGACTTTCTACTAAGAATTACATATTTCATAACTGCCAAAATCAATAATTTTATTACTATTAAATTTCATAAGTTAAAAACAATTTTGATGTATAATTGTTAAAATTCAAAATAAAAATCGTTATTATAGTTACATTTTCATGGTTCAATAGCACCAAATTGTTTAACTATTTTTTTCGAAATTCTAGCCAAATCACTTTTGACAATGTCAATGTCAGTTGTCAGTGTCAACTGTCACACCACGGTGTCGAAGTGTGATACAAGTATTTCCTAAGATTCGGGGAATAGTATACTCTCGACTGGAGCTGATGCTGTCATGTCATCATCATCAGGCCTGGACCAATCCTGAAACAAGTTAATTTATCTAGTATACAATAACTAACAAAAAGAATTAAACAAAAGAAGTTGCGTTTTTTTTCATTAATTCTACTAATCGAAGCATGGTGATTATTGAAAATGGTTGAGTTTAAAGTAAGCTCTATTTAGTAAAATTACCTGTTCCTCAGTACTGGCAAAGAACAAATAGAAGAGATTCGCGCCAAGATCGATGGCGGCTGCTAAGTAGAACACTTCGCGCCACTGACCCAGTGTTTGCTGGAAATATAAATTATAAATAATTAATAATTAAAAATATTATTTATCCGGAATCAAATTCCACAGAATTAGCTTGAAGTAAGGGAACACCTAGGCCCTTAGGACAAGCTGTTAAAGCTAGTTCTAAACGAAGTCTACTATAGAATGCTATAGGCCTGAGTTTAGAATTGGAAACGGGCGTTATATTTATTATCTCGCGTTTTTTTCAAGATATTCATTTTAATAATGCCTATGTGCTTTAGGTAACACTTTAGTGGATTGATTTGGTGGAAACTTTATAAAAAGCTATTTCTTAGACTAGGATGGTTTCTTTAGATTAATAATTTTTTAATATTCATATGATATATTTGGGAATTGCCACTGTCGAAGAAGGCATAAAAATATCAACCGTACGATACAAAAGGAGACTTCAGTAACACGTCAATCTCCTGGCTTCGGGCCTCTAGGAAACGACGGACTGTGAAAGGGCGAAACTTGCCGCAGTCTGATAATTTACGAATTACGGAAATAAAATAATATTGGATTTGCGTTCGCTGATTACCATCATTTCATAAAATCTGATAAAAGCCAAGAGGCTGATTGCCATTATTTCATAAAATCTGATAAAAGCCAAGAGGCTGATTGTCATCATTTCATAAAATCTGATAAAAGCCAAGAGGCTGATACCATCATTTCATAAAATCTGATAAAAGCCAAGAGGCTGATTGCCATTATTTCATAAAATCTGATAAAAGCAAAGAGGCTGATTGTCATCATTTCATAAAATCTGATAAAAGCCAAGAGGCTGATTGTCATCATTTCATAAAATCTGATAAAAGCCAAGAGGCTGATTGCCATCATTTCATAAAATCTGATAAAAGCCAAGAGGCTGATTGCCATCATTTCATAAAATCTGATAAAAGCCAAGAGGCTGATTGCCATCATTTCATAAAATCTGATAAAAGCCAAGAGGCTGATTGCCATCATTTCATAAAATCTGATAAAAACCAAGAGGCTGATTGCCATCATTTCCTAAAATCTGATAAAAGCCAAGAGGCTGATTGCCATCATTTCATAAAATCTGATAAAAGCCAAGAGGCTGATTGCCATCATTTCATAAAATCTGATAAAAGCCAAGACGCTGATTGCAGATGGACGAAAAAAATTATATATAAAGAATACTTAGAACTGCTCCTCTTTCTTTTCTACTTCTAGTTATGGTTTTAAGTTATTGAATATTTACTTTTTTTGCTTGTAAGGCGGCGTTCTCTTGTCTCGGAGGTCAGTACTGAAGATTATGATGATGGATTAAGTAATCAATTAATGAAGAAAGACGTACAGAATCATATGTTTACTTTCATCTCATCATCTCCATACTTTTTTAGGATAGAATTCAACACAATTTTGGACACGCCTTAAGTAAGTCAAATTGAGATTTAATTGATGATTTCATGTAAGTTCGCGACACACTATACCATGACATACAACTCATCTATCTGTCAAATTTATTTAACGGTTGGGAGTAGGCTAAAGTTTTACAAATTTTAAATTTTTAGAATATACCTCTTAATTTTATAAACAATGGATCGATTTAGTAAATCGATAATTTTTTTTATGTAGAAGACAATATCTCGTAATGTCACAGATTAGAGAGAAAGCACAGACTACAAACTTAATTATGAGTGAGAAACACTTATAAGGCGCGAAATTTAAAATGTCATAACAAACCTGATCAGAGCTGATGATTTGTCCAATCACATATGGTGCCATGAAACCGCAGATATTGCTGGCCGCGTTCGTTATGCCATACATTGTACCAGCAAACTGCGGCGATAGGTCCATATGGTTCATTTGATTACCTATATGGAAAACGAGGTTTTATTTCATAATAATAAAAAAATATTGTTGTTGGATCAGTGTTCGAATCTATAAAAAAATATCAATAGGCACATAAGACTAATTAACTTAAGCATCAAATAATAATAATAATCAATGGCGCTACAACCTTTTTAGGTCTGGGCTTTAGATTTCTGTGTCTGTTTCATGATCATTTGGTAATCTAATAGGCAAGTAGGTGATCAGCCTTCTGGCCTGACGCACGCCCTCGACTTTTGGGTCTAAGGCAAGCCGGTTTCCTCACGATATTTTCCTTCACCGTTCGATCGAATGTTAAATGCGCACATAGAAAGAAAGTCCATTGATTCACAGCCGGGGATCGAACCAACGACCTCAGGGATGAGAGACGCACGCTGAAGCCATTAGGCCAACACCGATCTTAAGCATCTATGAAAGATAATACCACCACCTCGAACCTTTGATGCTATCCGTAGAACTTCGTCTGATACCTTAGGTCTCTTGGCGCAGACATCCCGTACTTATTTGTATATTTATTTTTAAACACAAGGTTTTGGACTATAACTTTGACACCAATTAAAAATAACTTAAATTATTATGACATTATGTTAATGTTCATATTATATGACATTTGCATGCTATATATGACTGATTGTGTGGATTTTTATAATTAATCGATCTAACTGTATCACTATCTTTGCAAAAAACCGATTTATTATTATTATTAGAGTACGTCTGTAGGGATTTGAGATCCGTCGAGTTGTTAGGTTCTTACATCTCACCCTCTCAAATATTTAGTTTTCTAGTGCAGCTTGCTCATACCTACACACTATACAGATACATTTAATCCATATAAATTTAACCACACATTTCACAATCCACTGGCTGGCAAGCTGTACAATAATGGTTTAGTTTGCTAGCAATGTCTAGATAAATCTGCTTCTTAATACATTTTAACAATAATTTAGAAAGATTTTTGTATTTTAGTCAATTTACATAAAACCATAATCATACACCAAAATCATCTCAATATTTCATTTTTCAATGTTTACGACTCACTACTGCCCTTGCTTTTCAAGGGTAGATGTAATAAAAAATATTAAATAATGATATCTGAGGGTTCCCAAATAGGGTTGTAGACGTACTGTATTATTATTAAACATTGTTTAATTACCAGCATACACTGCGCCACCAAACGCTGATGTTATACTCAGCAGCAGCATGACAGCAATCCTGTCGCAGCCAGCCCATGCGATGCCCAACAAACCGAAAGCGGGGACAAAGGCCGCTTAAAATTATAACACACAGTCAAAAATCAAAATCATATTGGTAACTATGTACACTTATGAACGTTAATATAAATATATAATAACAGATAAATGATAAAATTAAAACACGAATTTCGTCGAAAATCGTAGAACTTCTCGTTTAAATTTTGTATTTTTTAAATAAAGTATCTTTATTTTACCGAAAAAACTAAGAATGTCTAATAAAACTATATTTAAACAATTTGTATGACTCAAAACTTAGCGATAAGAAAGAGTGGCGGTTTCTTGGCGGCTCTACGCCCTTGACTTGCGAACTGGTAGTAAATGTAAATTTAAATATATTTAACTTCTTTTTTGACGTTCATAAGTGTACTTGTGTGAATAAAGTTATTTAGAGTTTGAGTATATTAGATGGACTGACGGTTAGGTACAGTACCCAAAGATTACAATGTATCCCTCAGATTTTTTTAAATTTTTAGCAAAATTTCTTACAATATTTGGATTTGAATGAAAATATACTTATAATTTAGTGTTTCGATAACGAAAGTTACTAACATTTAGCTCTTATCCAACAAAATTTAATAAAACATCTCCTCATTTTTAAAGTCAGTCAAATATTTAGCTTACCAACAGTGTTCCACAGCTTCATACTGTTAAGACGCGAGATCCAGCCCTTGGCTAACACCCAGTCAGCAAAAATACTGATTAAAATACCCGCGATCCATGCGGTTAAGTACGGCAGCGCTGATAAGCGCGCGTTCTGAAATAAATATGGTTTAACATTTTATAGTATAAAACAATAAGGTTAATTTAAGGATGCATAAAAGATTGAAGGAAGCAAGGGAAATGTACATAGAAGGTAAGAGAATGGTACCCTAGGGATGTAAAAAAAAGAAGTAAGGGAAGAAATATGAGGTGTTCAGAGGATGAAAAATAATAGCCGGAGTAAAATTATTAACAGAAGCGAGGGACAGATTTAAATGGCGACTTTTTGAGACCTTTTTAAAGAGACAAGCTGACTAGTTGCCAAATACTGCCCATAAGAGAAAAAGTAAATAAATCTCTTAAGTGAAGCACTTTGTTAAGATAAGAAAAAAATCAATGGTGAAATCAATTTTAACTACCAAATGTGCATTTGTAATAAATTATCAATTTTTATTGTAGTTATCGGTCACTATTTTGGTTATAATGGATTGAACATAAGACATTGATATATATCAATATCGAGCGAGCTTTTTTGTGACATGACATGACATTGATATACATAATATGTGTAACTAGCGGTTTTGGCAGCGCACGCCAGAATAGCTCTCAGATGGTATCCTACTTGATATTTTGGAAAATTCACACAATATCTTTATAAATTGTAGCCTATGTGTTATTCTGATGTATAAGCTATAATATTATTTTAAGGTTTAATAAAATTCATTAAGTAGTTTTTAAGTGAAAGAATAACAAACATCCGTTAATTCAAATTTCGCGTTTTTAATTAGTAGGATTATACTTACTGACACAATATCGAAATGCAGAATATTATTCATATATGTAGGCAATTCTGTTAGCTGAGTATAGAACAGCCATGACTGCCCACACTGGGCTATTAATATTGCCCATAATGGAAGACAGGTGAGGAATTTAAACCATGGTATTGACATAGAGGATTTTTCTTCCTGGAAATAGAAAGATATGGAATATAAAACAAAAGAAATAACTCATCAATTTTTTTGGTAAATTAGGTATTAGGTAGCAAGAGCATATTAAAAGAAAAAACTTTTTAACCTGATTAAAGTTATGTATTATTATAAATTTACAATTATTTAACATAATTTTAAATTTATCCGACGTTTCGCGTGCTTTACAGCGTGCGTGGTCACGGTTAAAAAGTTTTTTCTTTAAATGTGTAAAGGTTATGTCAATCAAAGACAATATTAAGAGCATATTAACCTAACATCTTAACACTGAACTTGGTCAACTAATTTTAAGGTTTTGTAAGACTTTATTCTTATAATTAAGTAAAATAAATCAGTGGCTTGTTTTATCATGTTTTAAGGTCTTCGCCTGCGATTTCCGTATCTGTTTCATGATCATTTGTCAATCTAATAGGCAAGTAGGTGAACTGTCTCCTGTGCTTGACGCACTCCGTCAACCTTTCGGGTCTAAGGCAAGCCGATTTCCTCACGATGTTTTCCTTCACCGTTTGAGCGAATATTAAATAGGCACATAGAAAAGTCCATTGGGTTACAGCCGGGGTCGAATCTACGATCTCAAGGCTGGGAGTCGCACGCTGAAGCCACTAGGGCAGCACTACTTTAACGTTCTTATAATTATTAGTTAATTATCTTAAATGGAAATCTGTCTGGCTTAAAAAATATGGGTTTTGACCCAAGTCTTTTAAAGAAATCAAATTCAAGTACCGAATTAACTTAGGCGACTGGCATTTAGCGTTTCAAGCGATTAATTTTACTAAATTATAATATGTAATTGATACAGCTGTGTCCTAAATTGAAATCTGTTTCATTTAGATAATGACTAATCACTATTGAGACAATGCCCTCTGTTACATAGAGTAACGACAAAGATATACCTTCCATTTAGAAAGTTTTCAAAATACATCCCCCAGTTTTGAGATGAAGAGCTAATGAGAGTAAGAGATAATAATAAAAATTTATTAATCATAGAAAACTCTGGTATATAATAAACAATATGTAGTTTTGTTTTTATAAATATATTTTTTTTTAATATAATAAGGGGGCAAACGAGCTTGCGGGACGACCAAAAAGGGCAGTCTGCGCAGCCCATAGACACCCACTTTTAGTGGGTGCGTTGCCGGCCTTTGAGGGATATAATATATAAAAACAGTGTTTATATACAAACTAATATATAAACACAAAATGACTTTACTGTAATGTGGAGTGTATTCTACACACACATTGCTCATAGCCGTGGAATATTTATTATCATTTAGAATTATCTTGTCAATAACAACTGCATAAGGTTTAGAATGATAACATATTGATCATGAAGTTATTTATGTTTTCTACGTATAATCAACAGAATGTTATGATGCTGAGAAATCTATGGCCAAAAATTACTATTAACTTAAATGGAAAAACATTAACTGCCAATTTAAACAAAACTCCCACATTATCATTGTGTTCTACATCAAACTCTCTTCAAAATTATGATTTATGTACTTCCACTTGCTTTAATGATTTTTTATCCATAATTTGTATTATTTAAGTTAACATAGTTTTGCAATTTTTCATACTCTATATATTATTTCCCTTAATTAAGGTGAGTTAATTAGAGGTGAGACTCCTTGTTATACATAGCAACAAATTTATTACAAATTATAGTATTACCTGTGGTCCAATAGAGTATGTGATATATTCAACCTCTTTTGGACATATCCTAGGATGCCTTTGTGGTGTATCATAGACCAAAAACATCCAAGCTATAAACCATACAATGCCGAGTCCACCAAAGAGGTAGAAGCATAGAGGCCAACCTCCTCCAAACTGAAGAGTGCATAGCCATCCAGATATTGGTAGTGATATTACCGTACCTATGTTTGAACCTTGAAAACAATATTTAGTCTTATAAAGTATAATTATATTATACAACCTAATTTAAATGTAATAAATATAATTGTTATTGATGGTTGTGGAGTAAATTTTGGTCATAATGACTACAATATGTTCAAAATGTGACCACCTTAACAAAAATATAATTTAAATCACTTAGCGCATCTAGTTAATAATTATTTTAGTTCTAGAATAGAAAAGAGGTCAACCTAGCTAATGAAACATTACATTACTTAACCTTGAATTTTATTGTATATTGCATATTAGTATTTTTGCGTTTTAGAGCAAATGTTACATTGTATGATATATATGTATTAATTAAAATTTTCAATAGATTCTTAATGGACCCAAATACCTATTTTGCCCATAAAAGTTTATAGTTTTGGATTTGTAATAATAAAATCTTAAGAATACTTTAAAACAATGATGAGAATTGTGTCAACATTTTTTGATTCTCGTTACAAGAATCTCATAATTAATTGGTGATAATATTTATTGCATGCAATAAATAACCTTGGGTTATAAATGTTAACTGTCCCAGTATCACACAATTAATTAACTGAGATAAAATTAATATGATCCCATTGAGTGGGTATGTATTGATTTCAATCTTATTTATTTTCAAATGTCAAAATATATAAATGAATTTCTACTAAAAAGTATTACAGGGCACCCAAATTAAATCTTACAAATACTAATAAGATTAATAATTTCTCATCTTCAGTAATGGTATTCTTCAGCTTCACTTACCAGCATAAACATAGGCAGCAAATTTTGATCTTTCTAGAGGAGGTATCCACCGAGCCAGCATTGCATGCATAGCTGGATAAGTGACACCTTCCCCAAGACCTTCTAGTACTCGAACAACTATGAAGAATTTAAAGTCTATAAATGCAGCTATTGGACTTAAAATAGTAAATATGGCTGTCAATAATACACCAATTCCATATACTAATTTGCCACCAAATATTTCCGCTATTCTACCACCTGGCACCTGGAAAAGTATGTTCAATATATAAGCATGCAAATCTTAAGTTAAATGTTAAATTCTTAAAAAGTAATGGTATGCACACCTGTGTTAAAACATAGCCATAGAAAAAGGAACCTAGAATTATACTTTGTTGTTCAGCCGTCCAGTTGAAGTCACCTGGTCTCTGAAAGAAAATTAATTATGCTGCTATTTTATTAAGATCTACATTCACTTACTGTAACCATACTTACTACTGCATGCATTGCAATAATAATTGGATTGCAATAGAAAATAGTGTACAAATCATCTTTTTACAATTTTAACCTAATTTGATATAAAAGATAGCAGTTAAAAAAAAATTACATACAGTAGGTGTTGAATCATTGGAAGCTGGTGTGGCTGGACACACATCTACTGTTTCATTGGTAGGTGTGGGTACTGTTGAATTAATCATAGCCACAATAGCTACTGATAGATTCACCCTCATTGCATATACATTGGCAAATCCTAAGAAGCCCATAATGCCAAGCACAGTTCGGCATTTGATCCATCCTGTAGTTTCCTCAACTATAAAATTAAAATATTTGTAAATACTTAAAAAATAACTTATATTCATATTAAGGAGTTGATAAAATTTTTAAAATGGCATAAACAAACTTCTATAACATTACTTTCACCTTATTAGATTATTAATTATCATAATATTTATAGGTTTTTGACATTATGTAAAAAGTAGGTCGAGCAATTTAAAAAAAACGAGGATATCTTTTATTTCCTATTCTATAGGTAAACTAATAAGAAGTCTAAATTACCTGTATCTGGTTGTACCAAAGTTCTACGACTGCTAGTAACATCGTTTTCAATGTCCTCATTTAATATAGGGCTTTCGTCTATTGGCAATGACATAGTTTAATAATTCTAACACATTCCCAATTATTCAAACTGCTCGATAAGAAATCGAAAATTAACCCATAAAACTATTGGTGGCTTTGCCTAAAATAATACAGCGGAAGATAAAAATGACTCATAACACTGGATAATAACAAAGGAATCAGTTTCAATAACTTTGGCGAAACAATCACAAAAACTACGCGAACGTGATGTATATTATTGTCATATTGTCTAACAATTAACAATGCAATTGATATTTGATACACATAGCTTGACATCTATTAAAGCGTTGCCAATTGTCAATGTCAAATGCTTACACCGATTACATAAACCAAGTAGCTTCGGACGGTTCCAAATGGCCACCATACCGCTGAAAATCAGCAAATTTTGAACTGAAAAGTATGGCATGGTGATTTTCGTAAATTGGCTGCAAGACGACGATTATCTGTGCAAAAATTTGCCTGGTAGAATAATAAGTCGGTTTTTTATACTGCTTCAATGATTTTTAGCCTATCCACCTTAAAAGGCCGATTACGACAAAAAAAGACTTTGCCTGACTCCTCTCACTTTTAAATAAGTTAAGCAAACTATACTAAATTACTAGCAGACCGGCCAAGCGTTGCCGTGGCTAAGGTTTTTGTTATATATAGTAGTAAACTATTCAAGGGAAACAGTAGAAAAACACCACCATGCTTTTTTGGTGGTTATGCCATTTAATTGTAGCTTATGGAAAACGTTGGTACTTTCAAGACAGCGCCATCTGTTAGAATTGTGACTGTCAAATAATAAACAAATAATTTGTAATAATAATAATATTGGGGGTATAAGTTAAGATGTAAGCTATCCTTTCTTTTAAGTTAGAGCAAACTGCACACTGTGTGCAAATTTGATTAAAATCGGTTAAGTAGTTTAGGAGTCCATAACGTACAAACAACGTGACGCGTAATTTATATATATTAAGATTAAAGATATTATTTATTAATTTTTATACGTAATATTTTTCACAAATATATTTGTATGTTTCATCAGAATATTCATATTGTAGTGTTGTGCCTAGCTGCGTCGAAAAGTTTGACGCAATTTTTTATATTGGAAGATGGCAAAAAATAATAAATCATAATATAATGATGTACATATATAGGGTGCCTATTACATGTAAGGTAAGTGGGGGCAAGATGAAAAATGTGGTAAGATAATAAATTGTCTATAACACCGATTTAAACGTATTTTTTTGAGTGCTGGTATTGTTATTTAAACCGCCAGTTTCTAACGTTCCAAATAGTGATGGGTAGGACAAACGAAATTGAAGTGTTTGTATGTCCCACCTCATTTTATAAAATGAGTTAATACATTGTACCACTTCATTTGAGGATTCTGTTCTGTACTGTTAGTCCCTTTATGTACGAATCCATTGTCTCTATGGCGCAGGTCTTTCGACCATAAAAAAATAAATAAAAAGGGTGCGTGTACTTATGTACGCGCGTAAGAAGTTATACTTCTTTGGCATTATTAAAAATAGTTTTTGATTGCATGCAAATAATTAATTACAATCAAAGACTGGAAAAGGAGTCATTATAGTCAATCAAAAAGTTCAGTTCACATTTGAAAAATTAAATATTTATTATTATTCTCTTACATTAAGTGTAACATAAATTCTATTATTATTCGAATGTTGTTTTTAAATTATGTCCAATGCCGTAGCATCTTCCGTGGGCAACTTCATTCTGTTAATGTTGTGTAACGGTGCGCGCGCTACGTAAAATTTCACTCTCATCAATTTTTCATAACGCGCCTAAAGAAGTATAACTTCAAAAAGTCAAGTTATTTATGCAAACAAAAACCAATTACAATAATATGTCACAGTGAACAGTCACTGTCACTCATTCAATAATATCGATTTAATCAGTTGCTCATCAGACACGATTTTTAACTATTGTCATTGTCCTACTTGGGATGGGAGAATAAGACAAAATAATTCATCTCAACTCATTCATGACATACGACTCACCGCCTCAATCACATTCAGCGCCTAGCCCGCGTTTGAAATACCTCAACGAGTTTGAAGCGGTACAAAATGTGTGTTTGAGGTGATGCGACATTTGACAACTTTGAATGTGACATTTGAGGTGCCTCATGTATGAGGTGCGCAACACTAGTTCCAAACCACATTCGAAGTTAGCCGTCCAGAGTGCATGGAGTGCGTAAATTTGAATAATTTCTGCGTCGTGATTTTTCGTATAATCTGCAAGTGATTTAATTTTACCCCGTGTACTGTAACTTTAATTACAAGATAGTTACGACTGTTTCATAGGAATATTTAATTATAGTTTTTATCTATCACATCAAAATACGGCAATTTTTATGTCATTTAGGAAATATCGAGGATGAGGATGGTTTCGGCCTTGAAATGCTTTACATGTTTTTATTTTTGAAGTTATACTTCTTTAGGCGCGTTATGAAAAATTTATGAGAGTGAAATTTTACGATGCGCGCGCACCACATATGCGTGAAGTTAGCAGCTATGCCAAGAATTTTGAATGACCATGATAATGTCATTTGTAGTACCTTTTAAACAGATAAAGGAGTTTTAATTATTTTTCAAAGAAATTTAGCAATGCTTTTTCACAAAGTCCTATTGTTACTTAGTAAAAAGGTTATGAATCATACCTAGTTATTAAATTGAATTAATAATATAATAAAACTAGGTATGATTCATATAATAAACTTATTTAAGGATTTCATGAAGGTAATAACTTTAATACAACTTTTTTTGCAAGTTAAATATTTATTATTAATTATTGAATATTTTAAAAAAATAAAGAAAGCCAAAGAAGTATAACTTCTTACGCGCGTACATTAGTACACGCACCATTTTTTTGTATGCCAGCAAGGATATAAGACTTAAAATTAAAATTACATATAAAAATCACTTTGGCTTTCACTATTTTGTAGCGCGTATGACAACACTTGGTTTGTTAAATCAAAAAATATTTCGAGTAAATTCACTAGCGGCAGCTTTTAATAAATAAGCTTTTCACCGTTACTGCTATGTTTTCTTAAATAGTGATTTGCAATATTATATTGACATTTATCTTCTATGGTTAATATGTAAGTGCCTAAAAGAGTATAATGGATTTCATTATCACACGTTTTAACCAGATCAATAGGTGATTTAGTGTATACTATCGGTTAACTTGTAAAAGTTTTACTTTAATATCTTCGAGTTGTATTGGGATTTGCTTGCAGGAAACATTATGAGAATATTTCATCAGGTCCAGGATACAAGTGGGGTTGGGTTTTAAATACCGTCGCACTTTTTTTATGATACTAACTATTTAGGAGTCTCGGGGGACCTTCATTGGAACACCTCCAAGTGATTTTTGCTGCCGGAAACGCGTCTAAGTATTTTTAATAAAAATTTATAGCTTTGTGAAATGTATTGAAATTTGTAAACAATCCGCCATTTTCTACTTTTCTATTGGTTATAAGAGATGTGACGTTCACTTTAAAAAATCGTGTTTTTAATTTATCGATTGATAATAATCGTGTTTTTTATTTATCGATTATTTCCTCATTTTTGAAATTTAAAGTTATAGAATAATCAACATTGAAATTAACCTAATTTCGTGTTGATAGATTATAGGGTTCCGAAAATTTTGAAATTAGCGATACCTACTCGTCTGTATTTCCTAATTAGTAGGTACTTGTATTTCATTGTTTGCAACTTTCTGTATTATTTAATTTTTACTAGAATAAAGTGTTTACTTTAATATCCAAAAAGTACCCAAAACCGAATCAGAGCACCCCACTATCCACGTGGTCTTGTCTGTCTTACCCCTAGAGTGTATATAAATAATCGGAGGCGCGGAGGAAGAGCAGCCCCTACCCGCTGTAACAAAAAAAGGGTGCGTGTACTTATGTACGCGCGTAAGAAGTTATACTTCTTTGGCATTATTAAAAATAGTTTTTGATTGCATGCAAATAATTAATTACAATTAAATAATCAAAGACTGGAAACGGAGTCATTATAGTCAATTAAGTTCAGTTTACATTTGAAAAATTAAATAAATAATTATTTATTATTATTCTCTTACATTAAGTGTAACATAAATTCTATTTAGTTAAAAGTATATATAATTATATATTTAGAACATCTCTACCAAACACTAAGAAGTATGTTGTAGCTTTGGCAGTATTGCACAATATAAAATTAATAAATTTCTTTGAAAAATTAATCAAAACTCCTTTATTTGTTTAAAAGGTAAATGACAAATGTCATTATGGTCATTCAAAATTCTTGGCATACGAACTTCACGCATATTCTATTTCTTTTTACTTGTAGATTGTCTTATTCCTATCTCGCTCACGCACGCTATAATCACACTCCCAATTTTGTGTCACAGGTGCGCGCGCATCGTAAAATTTCACTCTCATAAATTTTTCATAACGCGCCTAAAGAAGTATAACTTCAAAAATCTGAAAGCTGAATAAAATGCCTGTGCTTTGGTACGCAAGGGTGGAGGGGCTGCATTTCCCGTAGCGCCGGAGCTGTCCAAAAAAACAAATATTATTTAGATCGGTTAGGTCAGGTTAGTATATGAATATTTGGTCGCCGAAGGCGACCAAGAAGCCGGGTTGGGGGGGCTTGAATAAACAATTATTATTTAGATCGGAGCTGTCCAAAAAAACAAATCAAACAACAAACGCGTCTAAAAAAAAAAATAATATTTAGACGCGTTTCCGTAGCAAAACTCACTTGGAGGTGTTCCAATGAAGGTTCCCCGAGACTCCTACATAATTAGTATCATCAAAAAAGTGCGACGACATTTAAAACTGTTACCAGGTTTGTTTCAGGTTGGGTAATGGGTAAGGTACCATTTTATAATAAAAGTAAATTTATTTCTTAAGTAAAGGTATTTCTAATACTAAAGTAATTAAAACATTGTTCTTAAAATACGATTTCAAAGTCATGGACTGTTCAATCCTTATAACATTTTCAGGAACTACTTTGAATATTATTAGCCTATCTGTTTTCTCGACACGTGATCTTCTAAGATCTCTGTTATGTAGCGATGTGCAGTCAAACCCCCTTTACTACCGTGTTGACGGACCATGTCTAAGAACACAAGTTCTGTTCGCCCGTACATCGATATGCCACCCCAGACCATGTACGAACCGCCTCCAAAAGGAACACGCTCCTCAATGCAACTTTGAGCATATCGCTCCCCACGTCGACGATAGACTCTTCTCCGACCATCTGCACCATATAAACATGTCCTACACCCGTCTGTGAACAATACGGAAGCCCATCGCTCATCTGTCCAATTTAGATGATCACGCGCAAATCTTAAGCGAGCTTGTCTGAGCTACAGACAACTTTGGACCATTTGCTGGTCTAAAAGGTGTGATATCCGCTTCCTTTAACCTTCTTCTTATTGTTCTTGCACTAACGTTTACTCCACGCACTTCATTAAGCTCTGTTTTGATGTTAACTGACGTGAGGAAACGATTTCACAGGGAAGTTGTAACAATAAATCGGTCATCAGGACCGGTGGTTGCTCGAGTTCTGCCTGTACCACGTCTCCTTTTGTAAGAACCTGTCTCCACAAACCTTCTGTATATTCTAGAAACCGTAGACTGGTTTAAATGTAAATTTCGACCAATCGTTCGTTGATCCAAGCCCTCCCGCACCAATGCTACAATTTGCGCAGCTTGTTCGGACGAAGTATCCATATTATGGTTCAGAAACTCTCGATGAGTTAAAAAGCTAACCCAACAATTCTGCTGGTAACAATAATTCAAATGTCAAAAGAATAAAAAATCAATAAGAATCAACTTAAAAAACACGCAAATCTGATACTACGAGTAAATTTTCTTTTCCCGGCTATATTCATTTGTTTTACTGCAGTTCTATTTTTAAATATTGTTTTTTTAAGATTAAGGGCCAGTCTCCATATTTATATAATTAATTAATCTAAAAAGTTTGCATACTTATTAAAAGCAGTTTATGAGTCCGTCAGTATATATTCATTTCCGCGTTCTTAATATTCTCGTCTTCGATTAAATTAATTTTAGAAAATAATGTACTACGGACGCTTTGGATTCGTTTACAAAAACTTAAATATGACTCCCCTTGATTAATTTTAATATTTTCTAATTCAATTGAAATGTATTCTCTCAGTTCTAGGGTCTCCGAAATGTTGGATAAGAATTATTGTTTTTAACTCAGGCCAATTATTTATGTCTTGTCGTTCGCTAATTAAATGGCTCGCCTTGCCTCGTAGGCGGTTTGTAATCGCGTGAAAATCACATAGTCTTGCGCTACATTTGGAGGCTCTAAACGCTCTAACACATAAGTACTCGCTTTTTCTTAAATTTAATAATTTCTAATCTCCATCGAATTTGGGTACAATATTTAAAATATCGGATGGGATTGTGCGTATTTCCTGCATCTCAATTTTAGCAAGAACAATTAATTATATATATTTATTACAATATAGGAATTAAAAAGAATATACTTTTATTATTTTCTTTATTTTTTATTTTAATTTATTTTATAATTCAATATAATTTTATTTATACTGTATTTATTTATTGTAAGTTACAACTCATATAATTTTATATTTTCTTTTTAATTCAATTGAATTACATATCAACTTAAAAGTTACTTAAATCTATTTATACACAGTCAATCGGAAATAAAACGGGACAGGTTGGAATGTGAAGAGGTTTACTCACATAAATCTGGAACCCATTTCTTCAACTTATAACTGTTACACATGATTTTTAATTTTCACGTTTCACTTTTTCCGATCGCTCGTTATATGACAAATTTATTTGGTTTTGAAATACCCGTTAAATGCGTTAAAACACGCGCTACCCTATACTAGACCGATTTTAGGTCTTTTTCGCCAGTCAAATCGCGACGGTATTCAATAGATTTTTTTAAAAAATATAAAAGAAACTTTATTGATTAAAAATACAAGTGTTATTAGACGGTAGTCGATATTAGACTTCTATTTAAACGGTGGTCGATGTTAGACTAATCTGAATATAATTCTATTCTTACTGCTAAAAACCCTTACATGATAAAATAATAAAACTAAGCATTCATCGTAGTAGATGTATTAACGCTTATGGTGCGTTCTGGGTATATGTGTGAGAATGTAACTATGTATACATTACCGAATATGCAAATTAAAAATTTAATAAATTAAAATTCGATTTTAACTATCTTATCTATCTAAATTTATACTTAAAATGAAAACCGGCGTTAAAAGTATTACATTAGGTCACCCTCCTGTCTTCGCTCGTGAACTCGAAAGGAGATTAGCGAATGGCCTTTAAGTTTTGAAAAAATGGGATTTTGAGCTATCTAGAAAAGTAATAATTTTTCTCGTGGAACGCTATATTACCACATTAAAGAACCATGTTCCAGGACCAGATTGGTTCACTTATATTCTGTAAACGTCATGGACTTACATACTGACCCGTATATTATCCCGAAAGAAGGGAACCCCGTCCTCTCGAACATGGCACACTCAAATAAAATACAGTGATGTTTTTACGGCCGTTAGTCCAATTCAAAAACATATATCCCCTAAACTTTATGATGGGATTTGTGGAAAATTGAGATGGCAAAAGTTTGGGAACGTCTGTTTCAATCTTTCCCCGTTGGGGTAAGATTAATATATAAAAAACAAACAATTAGCTGTATCTTTGTTAAATAAAGGTATTTTTTCACGAAAGTCAGATGTAAGTTTTCAAGACACTAAGGCTATGGACTTAAAACAGTACAGGTTAGTAGGTATTTATTGTTCTACAAGAGGTTCAAACACAACAAACCGTTCAATCTTCCCCCCACTCACCTTACACCATTTCAAGCAACAAGTCCATCAAGCAAAATAATTTTGATTTTATTAGATTATTCCCTTAAAACAAACTACATGTACAAATTTTATACATTTATTTGTAATAAGAACCCATATAAAAATAATTTATTAATTAGTCATTAATGAAATGCTGCCTTTTAAATGGACAAAGTTGCGTCATATGCATAACCATTATGCAATTTAAACTATTGGCCAAAATTGTTTACTTATTGTAGGAATCATCAAGCCCATAATAATTGTTGAAATTAAATTAACACTGTTATTATCCAAAATGTTTTTTCCGCTTATATGTTTTATAGACATACTTGAGTGGGATACAATTTTACCCGCTTTATCAACACCTAAAAGAAAAAAAAAACTATTTAAAAATCATGTAAGAAACACCCATTATGAATACTATAATTGCAAGATATTTTATTCCTTAGTAAAACTAAGCTTATCTTTGAATTTCACTTTAATAAATTAAAAACCCATAAAGAGGAATCTAAGGCACTAGAGAAGTATGTAAAAGTTCATACCACTATACTGCATAGTTGCCCCCATAAGTGAATCAATACCACTTCCAATGAGGCCACTAATTCCTCCATAGATAATAATAGGCCATTGAGGAGGTGCATATGTAAGTATGTTTGTATCAGCAAAATATAAAATAGATAAATAATGTGCAATTCCTATTACAAGTCCCCCAACAGTGCTTAAAACAGTTCCAATTAAACTAACTCCTCCATTTGTTCCTTTTGGTACTTTCTTAAAAGTAGTAATCAAATATGGGTCAGATTTAGATAAAACTGTGCCTAATTCTGAGGCCCATGTGTCTCCATTACAGCAAGCGAGTACTCCTGTAAAAAAAAGTTAGATCTGTAACATTTAAAGCAGATTCAATGATGAATTTAAATATTATTATAAGCTTAATTTGATTTACCAAGTACTCCCATACTCAACCATGATGCTCGATAGTCTTTAATAAAGTCAATAGGTCGCTCAGAAGACCCAACATCAATTAAATACAGAAGTGCAAGCTGAGTAGCCATTCCTCCATTACACAGTACTTGAACCCATGTTCTCTCGCCACCTATTTGAAAGATATAAATAGTATTCAAATTTAAGAACCTCAATTGGAATCAAATACTTTTATACCTTCTTTAAAGTCCTCTTCAAATTTCCGTTTTAGATGTGGACGAAAGTGAGATGCCTTTGATGAGGTAAAGAAAAATGTCAATAATATAATTACAAAGCAATAGTTAGATAGAACAAGAATAAAACCAACAACAAGGGCAAGTAAGGCCCCACTGAGATTCAAAGTTCTTCTCTTGTAGCCATAAACAGCTATTGGTATTGGTATTAAACATGATGCTAGCCATCTGCCAGGAGATATCACAGGGAAATCTGTAAAAAAAAAATCACGAAATTTAATAACCACTAGAACAAAGTAAAAGAGCTTAATTAAAAATATATAGGTAGTTTCTTTAATTTAATTTAGGTTTCATTACATACCATCAAAACCTTCACTCTGAAATAATTTTGAGTAAATTATGTTTATAATCCAAAAAGACATAGACAATGGTATTGCTATAGCAATTGAAAGCACTGAGAAGACATGATTATTTTGTATTCCCTTTTTATCTTCCATGTCATTTTTCTTGATTTCCATTTTTATAATAATTTCCTTCCAGCATTAAATATCAATATTTATATAAAATTGATAAGTCAGTATTAAGAGTTTTCAAGAAAGTTTACCAAAACAACCTATTTTTAGCTGCAAATAAAAATAAATTAATGAAATACATATCAAAGCAAACATATTTTTTTTTAAATATTATTATACCAATAATATAAATATATGTAGAGAAAAAAATGCTAACAATAAATGGGCAGAATTACAGAGTCTGAAAATAAGTAAAATTGCTAGCTAACCGATTTCCGAGTTTTAAACTTTATTTTTTGTTTACAAATAAAAATACATATACTAATTTACTAAATACTAATCATCTCTAAATTCTATTGCAAATTGCAATTGACACTTGGCACTTGGCAGGTGCTGAGTGAGCGACCACAGGTGGCGACGACCAGCGACGACAGTCGACACATTTCTTCTGTCCTCATTAGATCAGTGAATCTTGACGTTGGCAGATTGTCATTTGTTATTCACTGACATAATAAAACTTGATTATTGGATACAAACTTCAATCAATCATCAAAGTAAAATCGGCTGATTGAGTTAGTTTTGCTTACTAGTGTTTTTATATTGCTTTTTTTTGTATTTTAATTAATTTTGATTTGGTGTAGCATTTATGTTGTGTTGTTTATTAATGTCTCAGGAAACAATTTAAGCTATGGGCTTTGTTGTTTAATAATACAGTATTACGAAAGTGCACGATGAAGCCTGTAATTGATTTTGATGAATGTTTACGAGACTCTCCCAAATTTAGGTAAGTTACAAAACTGTTAGTTGAAAGTATGCAATAGAAAGTAAATCTTTCTACGTGCTTTGTGATTTAATCATATCAACAACGACTGTTTAGGGAACAGCTGGAAACAGAAGAATCAAGTATTGACGCGTTGGAACAAAAGCTTGATAAAATCCTTAAGACATGTTCTGTTATGATAGAAACTGGAAAAACGTACATGAACCAGAGAAGGTGAGTTTTAATGGTTTTATTAGATAACAGAGTCTTTTTAAGCCATATCATGATAAGCCATTATTTCAAATCAATGGTTACAACCATAGACAGGATGTGGCTAATTAGGTTATTCCTTAGTTTAATCATATTAAACTTTTACAAGTTTTTATAATTACTTTATAACAACATTATTTGCAGCATATTTACAAATGCACTATGGGATCTGAGTGGTAACTTCTCTGAGGACCCATCAATTATGTCTATGCTTAATAGAATGATACATGCTTTGCAAGAGATGACCAAATTCCACTCTATATTGCTTGACCAAGCATCAAGGACTATACTTAAGAATCTCAGTGCATTTATCAAAGTGTAAGTATGGTAATTAATGAAATAGTATCATCATAACCTGTTTTTGCAGATTTTAATTAATACAGATTTTTGATATTTAATAATAAAAAAAATGTTATAACTAGTAGATTATAGAAATAGGGATGATAAAAGTTGTGAAGTTGACTTTTAATGATCTCTCTAAATCATAAACTTATCTATAACGTTCATTGACACCTCATAGATATGTAATAGGTTTATTAAGTATTGTGAATAACTTTTTGTTGCCTTTTGTATCCTACAAAAAGAGATTACACATTATTTTGGTATCTTGTTCAGTCTAACAATTAAATAGAAAATATTTAAATTTAAATAAACCCTTAGATTCATAATAGATTTAAATATTAGCTAATATGTTAGAAGGTAATATAACTTGTTATAAATTAAATCTTATTTTTACCAAGCAAATTAACATACATGATAATTATTTCTGTATTATTGTGATTCACTATCAGGTTCCAAGTTATAATGCAATGAATCATCTTGGTTACGGATATTTATTGTTTGTTTGGTTTTTTTTTTTCAGAGATATTAAAGGGGTAAAGGAGAGCAAACATCACTTTGACAAAATCTCAAATGACCTAGATATTGCTCTGATAAGAAATTCACAGGTACTGGTTATATACTGAAATACTTATTATTAATAACAATTGAATCACCAATACCCCATCATTAAGAAACAGGTCCCCTAGTTTGTAATATTTTGCAAGCACTAAATATACCAAAAAATACTCATTTAGTTGTTATATTTTAAATGAATGGATGAGGGCTTCTCGCAACATGAAAATGTCCTTTCAAAACTAAAATATAAGTTTTTCTGTAAATGTTTGAGACCACTTTTGCCTTTTGTCTTAATGATTTATTTAAAGCTAAATGTATGCCTTTATTTTATTCTCAAAGGTGTCACGTCACAAGGCAACTGATGTGGAGGAAGTTGTGAATCTCCTACTGGCTACAAGATCTTGTTTCCGTCACACTGCACTTGATCATGTTCAGAAGATTACGATGCTACAGGCCAGAAAACGACATGAAATATTAGCTACTGTAAGTAGTACATATTTCTGTACTTAGTACTAAAAATATTAATTAGGAAATTATTTGACATAAGTAGGGATTACAAATTAAAAATAATGTAGAAGATACACCCAAAAGTCAAATGTGTCAGGCACAGAAAGTCTGACCACCTACTTGCCAAAAAGAAATGGATCAGATGTTATTGTCTTCTCTTATTGATCTTTACATTAACATAAGTGTGATAACCAACCAGCTTAAAGGCCGGGTTATACTACAGCCACGCCGCGTGTCGCAACGCTGCCTGACGCACGGGCTGGTGATTATACTACAGTGTCGTGTCGCCGCGCGTGCTGATTCATTTTTGTGTCAGTTCAGTGGTGACCGCGTAAACGTCCGCATCTATTTACAATGTTCTCTTCCGACTCAGATACGGATCTTGAAGAAGATATTGCCTGCCTATTTATGTTAAGCCAACTCAAGAAGAAAAAAAAATTGTTGGCCTATTTCTTCCCACGCTGCTGTTCTTATCAAATGGTCTTTATAATCTTTATTTTTAGGATCATATAAAAATTTATACTCTCTCACTAGCTCAATAAGTTCGTCAGCGGACATCTTGCGCGCGCTCAAAAATGTGGTAGATGTCTGCTTGCTTGCTCGTCAACACGCCGAAATGCGCAAATGCGCGTAGCCACGTGGCGATTATACCAACGTGACACGTGAGCCAACGGGACACTTCCCCCACTACCGAGCCCACGCCGATCGAAATCGAGCGATCTGCGTGGCGTCAGCTCACTCGGCGACACGCGGCGTGGCTGTAGTATAACCCGGCCTTAATGTATATATTGTCAATCTGATTCCAAATATAAAATGTTACGTAGGAAATGATTAAATTTATGGAGACCTTGCCATAGACACGTGTCTAGCCCAAAAAGCGTGTCTGCCCCAACCATAGCCTTCAATTATATGATGTCTGTACTAATTAGGAAGGAGGCTATTATGTAATAAATAATCTTTATCACTTCATGTATAAAACAAGTTAATCGATATAAAGCCTGAAAACTGAAACTACAACAAGATAGAATTATTGTTTTTGGCAGTGAAATTAATAATATAAATGAAATGTTTCACCACTAAGTTATTTTGGAAGTTTTTCATAAAAAATCTAATTTCTTTATTCAACAGTCACATTATCTGGAAGCCTTTAGGCAAATAGATAAACACACCTACTTACATCATTAGCCTAAGCCTGTCTGTAAGAGCATATATAGAATCATTTTTTTTATATTGCGCTTATATTGCGTTAGCTAAACGGATATATGATATGTTTTGTTTTATGTATCCTACCATGTACTTAAAGGTTGTGACGTCAGCGTTATTAAAACGAAATTGGATTTCGTCGTAAATGACATCGTTAGGGCTTTGTTCGTAAGTGCCAATGCTAGCCAATTATTGATAATATAATACTGTTTATCCTTGAAATCGCTTCTGAAGTAACGTGGCAAGCTTGCTTGTATGTGATTGTAGACGTTAGCATTTGATTTGTAGGTGTTGTTAATACTGCATCTTATTTATTTATTTATAAGTAATCTTTATATAGGTATACACATACATATTATAGAATAAAACGGTTAGACAATATACAAAGCTAAAACAGATTACATAAAACAAAATATACGAAACAGAAAACATAAGTCAAAGAAGTACATTAATAGATTAAAAAAAAGAAAACTGAAATTCAACATTACACAAACCCCTACTTAATATTTTAAATAAAAAAATGTTTAAAAAAATTAAGGCAAAGTCATCCCGCTTTTTCATATATTCCCTCTTTGGTAAGGTGGAAAATGTTTTCATCTTCATAAATTGTATTGTAGTTAGCTAAAACCCGATACATTGGCGATTACGCAGATAATTAATGTTCGTACAAGTATCGGCACGAAACTCTAGCGCTGACCGTTATTGCGCAGAAGTAAAAAATAAGGTACCTGAGGGGGGCTAGCGGAATGAAGTGTTTCGATTGGCTCTCCAGTCGCATTCCGTCCCCCGCGCGACAGTACACATGCGCAGCAATCCCCTCCACGTATCGGCCAGCGCTAGACTTACGCGCCGCTGCCTATACGAGGCACATGGAACAATTCGTCATGATCGTAGAACAATGTCGGATTTGAAAAAAATCCACGTTTTATCATATTTGGATACTAGTAGAGCAAGATCCCAGGGCCGCCAGACGTCACGTATTTTCTGACGGATGAAATGTGGACGATTGGGTAGTGTTAGTATGTACTATGATCGTATGCCTACCTGCTAGCTTGGTCAAACGGCCAATTTCCAGGTATCAGGTAATCAAGGTACACAAAAACATTACTTACTTCACGTAAATTCTCATGGCTGATTTTTATATATGTTTTCGAGTGTATAGTTAAAAATAAATTGTCAATACTCCCAGACACTTTCCGTCGGCCATATTGCTTAACAGACGCTTTAAGGGTCTCAAAATAATTAGTCAACTTCACGTAAATTCTGACGCTCCATTTTTATATATGTTCATCCGACAACTATTTTAAAAGCTTTGACAAGAAGACAGACCGATCCAAGGGGCCAATCATCCCCTAAACTAAATTTTGATATCTCTATGAGTGAGAGAGCATTATCTACGCGCATGAGACTGAGTGAGACCGACTGCGCTGTTAAAGCCATGAAAATTACTTGAACAGATATTTTATAATTTTTAGAACTTTTGTTGACAAGTAAATTATAGCAACAAAAATAAGAAAAAAATTGACACATAATAAATAATACTAAAGTTAGCAGACATTTTTTTTTTTTTCAATTTATTAATTAGAACTAAAAAATATTTTTTTAAAAATACCACTTATATTTAAATAGCAGCAATTTTTTAATTAATTATTTATTGGAAATTTGGAAACAAAGTGGAAAAATATTAATTCTTCAATATTTCTTAACAGTGGCTTTTAATCTTCATTATCATCATCATCAAATATCAATCTTGAAATTGAATATCTAAATCGTGATCGTCATCATCAGCATTATCCTTATTTTCTTCCTCTGTAAAAAACAAGTTAAACAATGAAGGTCTGAAAAAACTAAAAAGATACAAATAATATGAGAAACGAAAATAATTTACCTGATTGTTCTTCCAGCGACTCACTGACAAAACCCGGTAATTGATCTCCATCGAACCGATGAAAATCATATTTACCATCTTGTAGTGTCCAGCCATTGTTTTCGGGGTTGAAAATATTTATCATCTTCATACTTGCATTGTTCCAAAGCTAGGCCGTCGAAACTGTTGCCAAAGCTCACTTTTACAAGGTGGTAAGTTACTGGCATCGAAGTTTCTTAAATTCTTTCGATTGAATTCTTCATTTATATCAGATACCATGTATGTAAATGATAAACAACTGTAGTCTGGCAGCATCTACATCAATTATTCCAGGAAAATTGTAAACATCACAGATAAATTTTTGTATTATGTTGAATACACGTTCTTCTTCATCTACATCACCAACAAAATCCAACGTACCAAAACGGTGAAATGCTTTGTTGGTACTCTTCATTTTTCTTCAAAATATTAAACGGCTTTTGCTTGCCCTTTTTGAATAATAATAATTTTTCAAGTAATTTTCATGGCTTTAACAGCGCAGTCGGTCTCACTCAGTCTCATGCGCGTAGATAATGCTCTCTCACTCATAGAGATATTAAAATTTAGTTTAGGGGATGATTGGCCCCTTGGATCGGTCTGTCTTCTTGTCAAAGCTTTTAAAATAGTTGTCGGATGAACATATATAAAAATGGAGCGTCAGAATTTACGTGAAGTTGACTAATTATTTTGAGACCCTTAAAGCGTCTGTTAAGCAATATGGCCGACGGAATGTGTCTGGGAGTATTGACAATTTATTTTTAACTATACACTCGAAAACATATATTAAAATCAGCCATGAGAATTTACGTGAAGTAAGTTATGTTTTTGTGTACCTTGATTACCTGATACCTGGAAATTGGCCGTTTGACCAAGCTAGCAGGTAGGCATACGATCATAGTACATACTAACACTACCCAATCGTCCACATTTCATCCGTCAGAAAATACGTGACGTCTGGCGGCCCTGGGATCTTGGACCATAGGTACATTGACTAAATATTACGGCTACATTAAAATAAAAATTCCATGTGTTTTGAATTTCAAATTAATCATTCGGTAAAGTGACTGATTTGATAGAAACATGTGATTTTTCTAGAAAACTGTGTAATTTAATGTTATTATTTTTATGTTTTTTCAAAACAAACCCTTTTGTTTGCTTGTATGCCAATTTTCATAATAACGGAATATGAATTAAAATAGTTATGACCAAAACTAACATGATTATATTATTTTGAAACTACCCTGTAAAGTTTACTATTTATCAGATCCGTCACTATTCTACGACTATGACGAATTGTGATATCTTATCGCACTCGGAGGATATATACGTATATTTCCTAGTGTACCTCCTAGGCCTCCCATTGCTGATTGCGTAAGACCCAGGCTATCGTATCAGTATAAAACACAATGCGTGACTAAGTAAACATATCAACACTGAATTCGTAATGTAGTAACCGCTACGTCGTGTTCACCTGTTTTATTACGTCAATACTTGTGTTATTAACATAATTTTACATTACCGTTATATTTTTGTATCCTTGGGCTCGTGTGATTGTTTGCGCAGTTGTATATAATTAGTGAATGGACTCGGCTATCTATACCTACATATATCTATTTAAATGGAATGGATATGCGTGTTCTTCTTATCCTACGTCATTATAGTTTGTATGTCAATTATGACTCATGATGCTGGTTTGAAACACAAAAAAAATATTCTTAAGCCAACCTCTTTGTCCGTACTATTCTTGAATAGTGCAACGCAACATTGTCCGCTCCCGTGCCTCTTTACCAGCTTTTAATTAAGTAAAGTGGTAGGAAGTTGTTTAATCAAACTTGATTTTATTGGGATCGAAGATGCAACAGGCAGTATTTTCCATAAAAGCGTTTTGAGCGTTGGCCGCGCACCACCACTATGTGGAACCAGCTAGACACTGAAGTATTTCCGACCCAAGTCCTTCAAGAAAATAGCGTACCAATTCATAAAATGCCGGCAGCGCACTTGCAAAGCCCTCTGGTAGTGTGAGTGTACATGGGCGGCGGTATCACTTAACATCAGGTGAGCCTCTTGCCCGTTTGCCTCCTATTACATAAAACAAATTTAGACAGTTTCAGAAGTATTTTGTGAAAAGCGCTAGATTTCTGTTTATTTCGATTGGTTTTGGTCGATTGCATGTCCTTGTCAAATCGTGACGAAGCGTCAAATGATTATGATGCGTCAGAGTTCACTTGTGAGATAAATTACTCTGCACAGAGCGATGTTAAAACATATGTACTGCTTGAATAAACCCCTAAGAAAAACACCTTTCCTTGTAATTCCTCTCGCGGTAATTTATATTCAATAAATACTGAGATAAGAATATTATGACTCTACTCTACTTAAATACATAAATTGTTATTTCCTTTACATTGTAATTAGATATCAATGAATCGGCTATGACTCAGTACGTTTTTCGATGTGTAACTTTTCGTTTTACCATATAAAGAAAGATTACACATAATGTTGTAGTACATATATATGCCCTTTCGGCTATTAATTTTACATAAATTAACTTAATAACCTACTAAAAGCGTAACAAAAATCTCACGATTATTTTAACGTCGTCGCTTTGTCTCCAACCATTTCGCACGTCATATGCAATGATGAACATAATAAGATATATCAAGGTATACCGTCTTCATAAAAGTGTCTGACCTATTTGACTGTTTGGTTTCAACAAACACAGAAGTATAATTTAATATAAATACGAAACAACAACAGAATAAATAGGATTGGAAGGGTGCGAGTATTCTATAATGATGATCAAATAGTCTATTTCAATTGAGCCAAGAAATGAGAGTGCGCTAAGTTTACTCCCGTTTGGCAAAAAGTGATGGATTTTGACATTAGAGGTCATAGTTCGCGCTCTCTCGTGAGTCTTGTTTCCCTAAGGTCTGATATGAGGTCAACATTCAGAAGCCAGTCCTCATACTGTTCGTGTCAGTGATTGCAATTTTAATTGCGTAATTTAATTCACCAAGGTGACGATGGATTTTAATTGCGATTATGCATTGTCTGTGAACTATTCGACATAACAATACGTTCATTACTTGGCCCGTGGGAATTGGTTACAAAAATGGGCATAGCCGAAACTTTATTGTTTTGTGAAAATCTAAAAATACCATATAAATATTTACGGCTTTAACATATGTACGAACGAAATATATATTTATAGCTGAACCATAATTTTGTCTGTATTGAATAGAGGTTTTCAATCGTGTGTTCCTATGAGATAAGAACAATTCGTTTAGTGCCAAAGAACAAGGCTATCTTTACCTTATTATATTGTTAAAATGAAAGAAACATTTATATGTACACACAACATTAACAATAATGTGTAACACTAAATATAGAAACTAAACATATTGCAATGCGCAGCGTTATTTGGCCTCAGTACGCATCCTGGCAATCCTTCTAGAGTTAGTTGTAGTAAGCGCACTAAACATCAAACCTACAAATAACGTTCAATATATCTTTATCGATAAAAAAATAATCGCATAAATTGTTGCTATAGCTGAAAAAGACGACTGGACCGATTCGATTATTTCTTATTTATTCCTTAACTGTGGTTTTTTATAGAGAGAAAAATTTAAAAAATATATAATACAGATAATTCCACAAAAACTGTTTTTGAAGCATTAGAATGAAAATGTCTTTCAACCTAATGGTAAAAAAATGTTTGCAGTTAATGAAATAAAACCAAATTTTGCATATACATATGTATTTGAAAAATTAGTTTTATTACAAGTAGGGTTTTAATCCGGAAAGCAAACAGTCAAACGGTAAAACAAAAAGTTGGTAGTTACAGCAACTTTATAGTAATTAAAACTTATTTATACAAAAATTAAACTAAGAACATACCACCTATAAACAATAAAGAATCAAACCTTTTCAACAAATTATGAATGATGCCATCCTAGTGAATTCAGACAGTGTTCAATTAAGTAGATCAATCGTTCATGCAATATTATTGAGGCGGCGTAATACGCGGTTTGATATGCGATAAAAATATGTGGTTTTATATACCTAAGTGTCTTCTATAAATAAAATTAAACTTTATATACACCGTGATAATTGCGATAATTTTTATCTGAGAGTTGTATGCACTGACGTGAAAAATAACAATATTTATATCCACTAAAACACTAAATGTTTTAGGTTATAATTATGAAAAGTTAATCTATTTAAGGGTAGGTTATTATCGTCGATTAACACGTAAAACGTAGTGTTCATAGTGTGCACTCGCGAGCCCTCTTGCCGCCCTCCCCGTGCGGCAACTTTTAAGAATTGGTACGCACTTTTCTTGAAGGACCCTAAGTCGAATTGGTTCGGAAATACTTCAGTGGGCAGCTGGTTCCACATAGTGGTGGTGCGTGGAAAAATTGCCTTAAAAACGCTCAGTTGTGGAACGACGGACGTCGAGGTGATACGGGTGAAATTTCGTATTCTGCCTCGATGTACGATGCTGAAACTCATCTGCAGGTATTAATCCGAACAAATCCTCTGAGCAATTGTATAGAAAACTTATGAAATTAAGTGAAAGTATTTGGAACTGAACCGTTGCACAAATCTGTAAAGTTAATATCTTACTTATCGTACTTTACTAGTACTTTACTTTACTAGTACAAATTGTATAGTTAATATATTATGATACGTTTCCAGCTGTCAAAAACCACAATAATTTTATTCCTATACTTAACAATTTTTCTCTAAAGCAGTTCGTCAACTCAGAATAACCGCGTGGGATATACTCGATTTTTTTAAATGTTTACTGAAGAATACGTTCCATTCCAAAGCGACCAATTTACTTTGACCAGAACTTCATTACACATGTCATAAATGGAATTAATTATTAATAAATTCCAAAGTAACTCTGTTCATAATATGTTATAGTCGTGTCCGCATAATGTAGAGACGGCACCGCTTTTCATATTTTTGTATGAACGTCAATTAGTTTGTTTATATCATGCGTTTGTCCTAACATTGTGGTACAAATAAAAAAAATTGAATTGGGTATAAACGAACCCAAGGCCTGCGTACCGCCTTCGGAGTATAGTACACATCCCGTATAAACCTGATCTTCTTGATTTGTTTCTCAATGCTAGCTAGCTGAAGCTACAAAATGTTGATTAATGAATGAACCCAATAAACGCCTATGTCGCCTCGTATAAAAATTTATTATCTATGGGTGAACCCAATATGTCCCCAATTTACCGCTATAAGTTATAGTAAATACGAAATCTACGATAACGTATCGGCGAATCGTCATCGGATTAGTCATTCTAAGTTCGACAGGTACTTAGTTTTCGTTGGCGCGGTGGCAAGGCTGCTCGCTTAGCGTTTAAAGACGCTAAATTGTGAAAGTGTAAAAGTGTTCGATATTTAAATTGACGATTGTGATTGGCCAACGAGGTAAACGTTTTGCGAATTCTCCTATTATACGTGCCTATGTAATATATTATAAAGATGGCATTTATGTAAAGTGAAAGTGTGTTGGGATTTAAATAACTCACATTTTATATTTAACCACATAGATAAAAGATTTTAAACGAATAGATAAAAGGGAGTTTTGTATCTTGTTAACAGTGTTGTGATGGGGATACTCAATAGGGGATGAGTTTATTAATATTTTTAAGGTAAAGCGAATTATAGTTTTGGGGCTCGATATAATTATACTATGGACTTTGTATAATTTTGCCCTAACCACTAAGACAGTAGGGTGGTTAAATATTCCGAAATAATATTCCATGTTATAGGTTTTTAATTTTATTATATGTATGTGAATTTAAGTTAGTTTTGAATTCAACTTATAAGCAATAACAAATAAAGGCCATCAAAAACATATCTTTAAAAAACCGAGTGTCTCAACTCAGTTCTTCTAACGTAAAAAGTTGGAGATTCATGCAATACCAAGTCGGTTAAATTATTTAGTTAAGGGACCTTCTGTCTTAAGTTATTGTAATATAATATAAAGATAACCTAATAACATCTTATAGTTTTTTTTTTGTTTTTTTTTTATACATCTGTCTTTACTAAGACATCATGCAACATTACAATCTAGCCTAACTTAAGACTAACCTAGTTTACTAATAAGGATTTTTACATAAGAAAGTGTCCAATAACACTACTTACAGTCTCTATTGAAGGGAAGACACTCTGTTCTTGTGTTCTATTTTTTTTAAATCACTGTGTAGCACTTAATACTGACGTGCACTAACACTTATTCACTAGTTCAAATGGCTTTGTCCTTTTAAGTCTTCTCACTAGGCCCGTGGTGTCAAGGAGTTGAATAGCCTCGACATTCACGTGATGGTGGAGCCTATGTTCGTGGGCTCCAGCAGTCGTTTTATTATTGTGGCGACGTCCTCTACATTAAGGTCCCGATGGAGGTCGTTATTGTGAATATATCAGGGAGCATTGACATCTTATAGTGACCTTATCAATATAAAAAAAAATGTTTTGAATAAATATATATATTTTAGAACATGTTATATCTATTATCGTTATCCTTAAATGAAGATAATACGCAATACTGCACAGATAATGATGTCATACTTCCTAGTAAGCGACGATATTTATTTACAGTTCCTGTCGTATCTTCAAGCCTGTAGCACCTATAACCATCAAGGAGCTGATCTCTCAGAAGACTTGGAACCCTTCTTGAAATCTACGGCTGACGAGGTAAAGTTAAAAACATTTCAGAGGGTTCTATTTTTGTTTAATTTATTCCATAATTTATTTCCTAAATTCTTCGTTTATAATACATGCCTAGATAAATATTAAACTAATACAAATAAATACATTAATTACGTATTACTAATTCTACATTTAATTGCAATCTAACTAATGTAATAAATAGTTATAAAAGAGTGAAATCACTGATTTGAAATGTGCAAAAAGCTATCAAAATATGTTATTATAGAAAACGAATCCTTTAAATAAACATTTTAGATTTTCCTACAAATAAACACACGTTTGATGGTGTGTTTTCAGTATTTTATAATTATTTCGTTATTTTAAAAAGAAAAGAGCGTACCTATTCTTAAAAGGCGGGCAACGCACTAGTTCGAACGCGCGGTATAGCCTTAACATTAGGTGAGCCTCCTGCCCGTTTGCCTCGTCATATCACAAATAATATCAGAATAACTACACAAATATTTACACTTACTTCACAATACTAAAGCGGATGATCTGTTTGTTTGTTTCGTTGAATCTCATGAACTACTGGTTGGAATTGAACTTGTGTAATATAGTTCATTTATCAATGAAGGCCGTCTACATCCACGGGGCACTAATTTAAGAAAAATGAATAGATTAAATCTTAGTCTATGGGTGAGACTCAGAAACGAGACTTAGCGAACTATAACGTATATCAATCCAATATTCACGTACAGATGTCACACTTAGCAGGTCTTGTTTCACAATATTATCCTAAGACCAACATAAATGATTCCACACACAGGATTCCGTCCTCGTATAAGGGATGTTTCTCCATATCTAAACTAGGACGTTTAATTTTAAAGATTCTTCTCGAATATATAGTCTCAATCGGGTCACACATGTGCATACACACCTATACATATCACGCACACTTAATTAATCAAATGTCGCTTAGTAAAAACACTGCATATTTTTAAGCACTGAGTTTTGGTTCTTTTATTGTACCACCGAAGAATCTTGTTACCCATAACACAGGAATGTTCTAGTGTGGGTAACACTGTCTGTCAATGCAACAAATAGTTTTAATTAATAAAGTTTTATTATTCAACATATCAACTCCACTTTTCATACTAATTTACAATAATCGCGTGTCAATCATACAAAAATGTTAGTTAATTGGTCTACATACGTACAAAGTAAATCGAATTGCAGATCGCAGTTATGCGTAACGATACAAAATCACTCGACAAGGAGATGGAGAATCGGCATACAATTGTTAATAGCAAAGATACGGTGCTGCCAAGTTGTAAGCCTGGCGAGGGAGAGGGGGAAAAGGATGGAATGCTCAACCCACCATGTCTTAAAAATATGCCACGAATGCAAGGGTATCTGTTCAAAAGGACCTCGAACGCTTTCAAGACGTGGAATCGAAGATGGTTTTATTTATATGACAATCGACTTGTTTATAGGTGAGTCATATCAAACCCCTACTAACTAATTACACTTTATAATTATTGTAAGTGCAGTACAACCCTGTGGATGTCCGAATCAAGGCCAACCGCGGATGTTCTTTTCTAGCTCGTACGGTGAAGGAAAACATCGTGAGGAAACCGGCATTCCTTAGACCCAAACATTGACGGCTGTTAGGCACATCTGTGCGATTTTTCTTAATAGGTGATCAGTCTAAAAAATATTAGTTAATAAATAACCAGACTGTTAAGTGTAGCGCCACTGGTTTTTTACTCTGTGATGTGGGTCGTCTCTGCCCAATTGTTTGTACTCTGTGATGACAAATGACAGATGAGTTTCGCACATATTATACTTTTTTCTTCATAGGTAATCTCGTGTCTATTTTCAAATAAATAATAATAAAACCTTAGAACGACTTTGATTTTATAAATGTTTTTTAATTTATATTTATTTCAATTATATTTAAGAGTGCAAAAATATTATGTATGTTTAATTTCTTTTGTTCAAAATTCACTTAACGCTTAGTAATGTAAATCGTCTATGTATTAAGTAATGTGCGTTTTCCAATTACAGAGCATTATGCGACTTTTTAGTTTTAATCATAAAGTCTAAGTATTTGAAAAAAAATGTTCTGAATAGAGTTAGCAACCCCCTTATGTATAAATATTTAGGTTAACATAATAATTTTTTTTACGCTTTTTTATTCTTTTTCATTAACATTTTTAACTGAAATAGAGAAACCTTTAAAGAATATAAGGTTTTAACAAGCTAAATTAACAGTAAAATATATAGTTTCATGTAAAAGTTACATCATTTCGTTTTGAGTAATTTTTTTCCGATTTTTAAATAAAATTGTATTCATATTTTAAATGTGGAATATAAAAAAGAACTATTTATACCTTCATCCATATTATATTTATTTTTTTACATTTGAAATAACTTTAATTATTTTCAAAATCTATACGAAACAAAGCCTTTTTTTCAACATAAATAATATTTACTAACGAAAATTTCGATAAATGCAAAAAACGGTTTTCTGTATGTGTTGGTATTTATTGCGAGAAGCCCAGCTTCGTTTTGAGAGTGTTTGTCGAAGTGCTGTAGTTGGAACATTCAACTTGAGCATTATGCCGCATAATGCGCTCTAGTGCTGTAATTGGAAAACGCTCCATGTGTACGCTGTTGTCATTTAGTATTTCCTGTACGTAGATGGAAAGTCGTAAAGCAGTTTTGGCTGTAAATACATTAAATTGTTATACGAATGCGATACGACTGGAATTTTTTTAACTGTAACATATTTTATTCTAGTTCCCGAACGTTCATATTTAATGTTTTAAATATAATCGGCACTACAACCGTTTCGGTCTGAGCCTCAAATTTCGCTATACCTTCAGTGCCTAACACACACCGTCGACATTTTGGGTCTAAAGCTCGAAGGTATGCATGCCGGTTTCCTAACGATGTTTTCCTTTTGAGCGAGTGTTAAATGCGCATATATACAGAAAGTCACAGTGCACAGCCAGGCATGAGAGTCGCTTGATAAAGCCACAAGGCCAACTCTGCTCTTAAATTGCAAATATATTGTACAAAATAATATTAAATTAAATTATACAAGTACCACACGTATGGAATTAATATACATACAATATACATATTCCTGTTTTGCGAATATTTTAAGTGCGACAATGTTTTAATTATAGCGACATCCATAAAAAAGCATTTGAAAGGTATCATACTAACATATCGGTCACGCTTCAACTAAAACTAAGTGGGTCGTAAGTCATTGCGGTCAAGGGCGCGCTAATTAATTGCTTTTTGTTCTATGTTTTTGCTCCTCTGAAACAAAACTGAAACGAGTTTTGTTTATTGTTAAGGAGTGGTTTTCTTTTCGTATCTGTTTCTTTGTTTTCTTAATTTATAGACAATTGGTCTGTGCGAAGTCAATAATGCTTTCCTTCTCTGTAAGAGCATGTGATAAATGTACACATAGAGAAAGAGAAATCGGTTCGTGTACAGTTGTGGTTAAAGGGCACGCAGACTTGCACGCTCAAGCACTAGGTCAAGTCTTAAAATCATTTTATAATAATAATTTATTGTCATAAACTGATTACATAAAAAACAAACCAGGATGTAGTGAGAATTGTAGAGGACAACTCTTTGTTTTTAATTTATGTTATTATTATTAATTACTTAAGATGTCATGTGGAACATGGTTTAATGGTTGCAGCTCCTTACAAACGTTGTGTAAAAAAAAACCTTGGCGATTAAAAAGAGTGGCGGAGAGTTTATTGCCAGTTCTTCTCCGTTCTACGCCCTTGATTTAAGAGCTGGCACTAAATGTAAAATTAGTAGCATTAATATGTATTTCTTTACTGACAAGTCATATAAGTGTACAATGTGTTACCTAAGTATATGATTAAATGATTTTTGAATTTGAATTTGTATTTCAGGAGTATTTTACTCAATGATTAATCCTATATTCCGTATAACAATTGGTTTTTATTTTGAAGATTTACGTATATAACAACACTGATAGGATATTTTTAATTAACTTGACATTTGTATACTTGATAGAAAGAGAACAGGTGAACTAAACGTGACAGTGATGGAAGACGATTTGAGATTGTGTACTGTCAAACTCGTGGTTGATGGCGAGAGGCGCTATTGTTTCGAAGTACTTTCACCTTCAAAGTAAGTTTTATGCAAATTTGGGTTATGCTTTGTGTTCCATCCATTATGTTAATTTTTTAAAATTCTTCACTTATTCTTAAGTAAATTTTAGGCACGTGTAGACTACGCATTTCTATAAGATGGCTATGACTATAAAATTCTATTGTTATTTGTCTATAAAATTTTCATAGACAAAACTGCAAATCCTTGTTTGTATGTAATCTATATTTTCGAAAAAAATGAGGTTTTATAGTATTTGATTGGCTATAAAATTGAAAGTTGTTTTTCATGCTGTTCGTTAAAAAAGACAAAATCGATTCGAATTTTATAAAGCTGAAGAGTTTGCTTGATCAAACCAATCTCAGTAACTACTGAATCGCATTGAAATCTTTTTGTATTGGATAGTCCATTATCGGGAAGAGATTATCTAGAATCGCACTACGACGAGTGAAACTGCGGGGCACTGTTACTATATTATACAGTATATATTAAACCAAATAGTATAGGAATATATAGCAAAGGCTGGTGGCAAAATTTTCTCTGAGTAGGCTCTTAAAAGGTCTGCAATGCACTCCCGAGCCTCCTGGGAGTGTGACTATCACTTAACAAGTTAATAATTGCGATGCACAAATTGTGACTTGTGTGTGTGTCTTGTGTAAAGAGATAATAAGTATTTATTAGACAGATTTCCTCCCATGAAGTTCACAGGCAAATTGGCTAATTTTTTTATCAGAAGTCACATGCTACAAGCAGACTCGGAGGAAATGCTAAATCTCTGGATCCAAGCATTGCAAAACGGGATTCGGTCTGCCATACAGCAGGGACAGAGCAGGGATAACCCGGACTCGCAACTAGTGTTGGTGCCAGATACAAGACCTAATGGAGATAGAAATAACGTCGCTTATCCACTGATGAAAAAAGTTAGGTAATAATCATATGTATACATCATTTTAGTTATCAAATTACCTTAAGAAAGTTTTAGAATTTACTACGCTACAGAACTGCTCAGTTCTTGGCCAAGTGGCTTAAGTATGTGTGTGTGTTCCTGAGGCCGAGCGTTCAAACTTCGACTCAAATGCCAAAAAAATTTGAAATAAAAATGATTGAAACGGATGCAATCTGAGGCCAAAACCCATTTCGGGTTTTAGCGCAGCTGGATTATTATTGTCTCAGTTCTTAATTCTTATGTGAAATGTAAATTTTTCAGAATATGGGAGCAGTTGTTGAGTATTCCGGGGAACAACTATTGCTGTGATTGTGGCAGTGCTAACCCACGTTGGGCGAGTATCAATCTTGGTATCACTTTATGTATTGGTAAGTTAACTACAATTTCTTTAACCATGGTTACCTATTAGAAAACGTTACCTAGTAACAAACACGGTGACATTCAATTCCTTTCCGAAATTAACTCAATAAAAATACAATTTCTTAAATTAGAATCTAAAAGCTAATGCTAATTCTAAATTGTACTCAATAATCTCTTGAAAGAAATGCATTAAACGACCTTTCGTACTGTATTTGGCTAAGCTAAGCTAAGCTTGTGACTAAATAAAGATTATCAGTGTTCACAACCTGAAACCAGCTTCAGCTTCCTATTAGGGCTGTAAAATTATCGTATATTGCTTATTATGGATCAAAATTATCAAACATATATAATGACAGGTTTTATATACATTAATAAATTATCGTATTATCTGATACGATATAATCGTTATAAAATCATTTTTCGTGCAATATTTACCAATTCTAATAATACTCGAATTATTCAAGAATACAAAAGAATAAACGGTACTTATCATGAGCTTGATACTACGTAGTCAACTGATCAATTTAAAACAAGCATTGTTAAAAAAGTATCTTTAAATATGTAATCATAAACGCCCGAACCCAAATATTTATCCACAATCTCAGATTGTTTTCAATCAGACCGTGGCAGGCGATCGATCTCCTATCTGCATCCCAATAACCGAACCCTACGACGGCAATCCATTTTTGGCGACGGATAAAATGCTAGTTGTCGTTCCATTTTACCGAGTTTTCACTCATATTACATAATCAATGTAAACCAAATAAAGTAAGTTTTTTTTAGAAATTACCATGTAACTCTTAATTGACAGAATGTTCGGGAATTCACCGTTCGCTTGGCGTACACGTGAGCAAAGTGCGTTCGCTAACCTTAGATGACTGGGAACCCGATATCATAAAGGTACGTACTTAAAGACTAATTGGCATATACTTTGATACCCAGTGAAATAATAATCATTGTTGATATCCATCAATAAATAAATAATAATAAATGAAACAAGTAAAAATGTATCTCCCAAAAAACATTATTTTATATACACATATATAACGAGATAAGTACTGCACTGATTGAAAAAAAAACACGATTGGAAACCTATATTGCACCTTATGAATATAGGTTATAGATTATTTTCAAAATAGTTAGGGATCCGTGTAAAATGTTATGTTACCTAAAAGGTGAAAAAAAAAACCAATAAAAATCTCCATATCGCAGCGGAAATTATTGGTAAAAGAGCAAAGTGATGTCCAGTTATATAGAAGACAGACAAAACTCCTAGATGTAATCTGTAATACATATTTAATTAAATATCCAGCCGTGCGAAGCCGGGACTGAACGCTAGTAGTAAAAGCGTTCCAAGAGATATCTCTCGAATACGACTATCGTTTTCATAAAAAAAATCCACAAATAAATTTAATATTGTGACGTGTCAATTGTCTATGCTAATAAGCTACGACTCACGTACGTCAAAATTCAATAGATTTTTGACGTTTCTAAATCTTACACCAAACCGTACCATATTCATAAAAAAAAATACATTCGTCTAATTGCAGCGTTGTAATGAAAGTGTTCATCTATCTCTTTCCATTGCAGCGTAATCACTATTTAACAGAAGAGTCAAGAGTATATTAATAACGTTATGTAATAACTGTTTAAGACTGTTTGTTACTAATGTGTAATTTTATTAACGATTCTTTCAGGTCATGGCCGAGTTGGGAAATAAAGTGGTGAATCTCATATACGAAGCCAACACAGAAGGCTCCACAATACCTAGAGCGACTCCGGAATGTGAAACGTATGTTTTTTTTTAAAGAACGAGGATAATGTTAAGTGATACCGCCGCCCATAGATACTCTCAATGCCAGTGAGCTCGCGAGTGCGTTGCCGCTCTTTTAATAATTAATACACTCTATTCTTGAACAGAGTTCCACATAGTGGTGGTACACGGCAAAAACTGCCTCAAATCTAGATTGCAGGATAATGTTTCAATAATTAGTTGTAATTGAGAGATAAGAGAGAATTACTATGAAAAAGAAATGATGTCTGCGGTATATAGAAGATGCAACCACTTCTAGTAATAACGACTCGTATTTTATAAGAACAAGCGAGTAAACTATTTATTTGAATCAATATGACTAATCACTAGAGTCTGGCTAATGAAAGAAGATAATTGAATTATTTGAAAACTTTCGGATGGCAACACAGAATGTCATTGAATTTCTTAGGTTAGTATGATTTATTGTCTTGATACCTTATGCAATTACTCATTTTTATTTCTATTATATATTTTTTTCGAATAGTTAACAGGTATAATAACCTAAACTTTGTTTTAATGATTTTTTGGATTCTGTTTTTGATTATTCCGAATAAAGTAGTGTGTTATAATAGATATTTTTAGTTTTAGTTTTCCATGCAATGCTAGTCATTTTAAGTATCAATAGTAAAAGACTAAATACGTACAGTATTTAATTTCATAGAAATACAGTTACTATCAATGTAAAAAATAATACACAAAATATATCAAACTTTTAGGGATACCATACTAAAAAAATTGAATTTGCCGCGTTTTTTCGTTATCTTCTTTCATTAGCCAGACTCTAGTTGTAATCTAGCAATAACGACTCGAATTTTATAGAAACCAGCTCGTAAACTCCGGCATTTTAATAGGGCTATGTATTTTTAGATATTTCAAATTATTTACTAAATTTCAAACAGATCGGTGCGTGAAGCGTGGATCCGTGCCAAGTACGTGACGTTATCGTTCGTACGTAACATCGTGAGTGCGAGCGAGCCTCGACACGAAACCGCGAGAAATGGACGACGGTGGTCAGTACGAAGAGCGAGGAGACGGTATTTATGAATTTTACTTCACTGCTTACATAGACAAAATGTTTTTATATAATTTGGAGAGTTTGTTAGTAATTATTACAATCACCAATCAGATCTATCGTGAAAATAATGCGGGCGCGGATCAAATTAAAAAATAATTTTGAATGTCAATCCATTTTGAGTAATTGTATTAATTAATAATCGTGTGTAATAAAAACCTCGTGGCCTCAGATTTTTGTACCTGTTTCGTGACAATTTTTCTTTACAAGTGATCACCCTATTATGCCTGAAATGTCGATTTTTGGGTCTATAAGGCATGTGGGTTGTCATACAATATTATCCTTCGCTGTAAGAGCGAGTGTAAAGTGTGTGTGTTGTGTTGTGTATTAGTAAGAATAAATATCGAAAAAATGATTAGTAAGAATAAATATCGAAAAAATGATTAGTAAGAATAAATATCGAAAAAATGATTAGTTGAAATAAATATTATCGAATATATTATTATTATGAATAAATATCGAATAAATGATTAGTAAGAATAAATATCGAATAAATGATTAGTAAGAATAAATATCCCCCCCCCCCCCCCCCCCCCCCCCCCCCCCACAAAACGGGGGGGGGGGGGTTTTTGTTCTTTTCCCCTTTTTGTGGGGGGGGGCCCCCTTTTTTTTTTTTTTTTTTTTTTTTTTTTTTTTTTTTTTTTTTTTTTTTTTTGGGGGGCGCGCGCGAATATATTAATATTGTGAATAAATATCGAATAAATGATTAGTTAGAAAAGCTAGATTGTAAATTTAGTACAAAAGTTATCTAAGAGATAATTGAACAAAAGACAAAGGGCGCTTGACGTGCTTTATACAATTTTGATTAAATGAATAGTGCAGAATATTGAGTAGAGCAATTTATGTTGCATAGTGCCATGTCTAATTTCTATTTCTAAAAATATAAAGTCAACAAAAACGTGTCAATTAGGTTTTGTTTTTTGATTTCTACCAAAAACCAAGATACGAGATAAGTCAGACCAAAAGCAGAAATTTTATAATTTTCTTAGAATAGTCATTTAAATTTAAAACAAACATGATTGTATAGCAAATATTACATTAATATCTCCATATATGTGTATGTGAGTAATGTATTCGCTGAGAAGTTCCTCTGCTACCGTTTTTTTAATTATCTACTCCGCGTAATTAATATTCAATATCTTATAGGTTTCTGTGCGGAATAAAAATCTATTCTGAACGTAGTTTGCGAGCCTTTACTGCTAATGTAATAAAGTAGGGATGTGACATTCTGCATAAAAAATAGATTTTTTATTAATCGATTATATTTTTAGCATGAAAAATCGATTAATAAATAATCGATTTTTTCCTAATTTTTGAATTAATTTCAAAATAAACACCCTAAATATTTTATTTTTCATGTTTTTTTTTAATTAAAAATAAACAATAGAAATTATAAACACAAATTAACGTTTAAGAATAATCAAAATCGAAATTAACTTAATCTCGTTTTGATATTTTTAGGTGATTTTTGATAAATGCTGAGTGTATGCCTTTTCAGTAGCACATTGCAGTATTTTTTTTGTCTTTTTAATCGTATGTAATCTTGTGCTGCTGAATAAATTTATTTTACTTTTAAATTATAGTGTTCCATTCAAACTTGAGTTTTTGTAAAATTAACTAGTTTTATCATCCTTTCGATGTTTTACAAAAAAACATCAATGCATCGAGTATATCAATACATCTTCAAAGAATCGGATTCAATGTATCGCATTGTAAACATCGATATATATCGAATATCCCTAATAGTTCGAGGTCCAAGTTATAAAAGATCAGACATAATTTCGGGAGGTGGCAGAGGAAAAATCGACTATGATTGATTTTAAATTATAAAAATAATCGTTTATTAATCGATTATTTTAAATATAAAAATCGCGTAAAAAATCGATTTTTACTTTTGAATAAATCGATTTTTATAATAATCGATTACTTTTTTCACATCCCTATAATAAAGACATTTAAAATAAATTAATTTCCAGAGTCCGTGCATCAACAACAGTGCCAGAGACAATAAAGGATGAAAAAAGTGACGTCAATAGCAATACAAGTGGTATGTTAGTGTACGGCTTTGGCCTTTTTTAGTTTTATAATCGTGGCGAATAACTAAATCGGAGTTACGCCCCGGGAACATAGCCAGACGCAGGCTCTTAAGCATTATTAGCATAGCATTCAAAAATCTAATACTATTTTTATTTTTAATAGTAGTAAATAAATCTTAGGGTTACCTGGAATAGAAAAGATAGACTTTTAAAAGTTTATTGTTAATATTTTGTTAATTTTTTGTAAATAAATAAAATTAATAATGTGTACTGGTGAGATTCAAAATCGTGACTTAGCGCAAACTTTGCCTTGTATGTCAAAATGCAATACAATTTAGACTAACGGGCGTTAATTTATTTTAAGTTAAGATAAGTTCTAGTCTAATATAACGAATTTTATATAAAATCAGTAAGTTTTACACTAAATTTGTTATTTTAAATAGAATAACTGCCAACGACACAGAGTTATTGTATATATTTTTATTCTTTTATTTACATCCGAAACATTTGAATTATGTTTTCAACAGTTTCAGAGAGTTCAAGCAAGTCGGACGATAGCCCAGTACTCTTAATAGGCAAGGAGTTGTCAAGTGAAAGGGCTGTCGACCTCAGTTTGCCTTCAGACCATGACTCTACAGAGGGGGAAGACGATGATCTTGGTAAGTTCAGAAATGGTCAAAGTATTGACATATGTTTTAATTATGCATTCTTCAAGCCTTTGAAACACTTTATAAAATAAATTAATTTAGAAAATGTTAGTAATTAATAAATTAGATTTTTAAGTAGGTACATGAAAATTACGCGACGACAAAGGACTATTCAATAATATTTGCTGTCTCCCATACACGATTTATTTCCAACACACAAATATACAGTAACCTACATTATATTAATAATTATTATTAAAAAATTATAAATAGAAAATTAAAACAAATAAAAAACTGGTCCCTGTGACAGTGTACCTTTAATGCTGGCACTTCCTCGCTATATTGCGATATTTATTTGTTGAACGAGGAAAGCACCAGCTCTGGGGTCACCGGTACTGTCTACCAGGTGCCAACTTAAATCTTTAATTAGAGCCTTGCACTTGAACCCCACAGGGAACAAAATCAAAGTTGGGATCATAGTCTGTCTAGTGTGGAACATTATATAGGTCACATATACACAGATCTCAAGTTATAATGTCGTCTTTGACAACTGGCAAATATTTCAAAGTGTATATATAAAAATGGTTTGACAGGTCTTAAAACTAAATTTGAAGTGGTCGTAACCAGAGTCTGTCTGTAATTACAACGTATGGTGTTTGACAGACGCAGAAGACATATCCTGCCTATCATGCGACGCAGTGTTATGCCGCGCTGCGCGTGCGCACAACGTGTGCGTAATGAGAGCCGCGTTGGCCGCAGGCGCAGACCCGACTTGCAGGAACGACAGGCAACGCACGCCGCTGCATTGCGCCGTGTTGAGCGTGAGTTTTATTATTCATAGTATTACGCAAGGCAAAAAGAAACTTTATTTAATTTTTGATCTGGTTTAATTCTGTGCATTCTTTATAAAATAGACCGAAATAGAGTTGAAAACTAAGTAAAATAAAAAAATATATTCAATAACCCTTAAATTCAAATTGTTCTAATAATTCATCTATAAAAAAAAGCTGCATCATTATACCTATACACGTCTGTTTCTTTCTATCATGGTGTAAACACAATTCGTCAGAAAGAGTGCTGCAGCAAAATTATACTTTAGTTTTATAAATTATTAGCTGTACCTATGTATAAATAATGTGTTATGTAAAATCTGTTATATAATTAAACAATTGTTTTCCCCCATACTTTACCTAAACTAACTGTTTTGATTTTTTTATCACCTTTCATCTGATGTTAAATCTGTGTAATCTGTGTAAAGTCTAACACATCCACATCTTTAGCTGGCCCTTTTCTCTGAAGAACTAAGATATATCTTTGCTGATAATCCAATTTATAAAATCACGCGTAAAAAAACGCGTTGCATCGCTTATTGTCGTAAATGAAAAGTAGAAGGAAATGGAAAATGCATGCGTTACACGGTTGTTAGTACAAAATTCGTTCAAAGGAACTACATTTTCTGTTGTATGAAACGTATTAAGTGATAGTTACAATTGTTAGCTTTTAATATTTATTTATTTTAATTGTAAAAAAAATATATGAAACATATTCTTAAGAATTTCTTAAACAAGTGCGGATGTGCAATAGTTACTCATTTGACTTGTTCAGTTGTTTACGAATTGTTACGAATTGACTCGAACAACTACCCGAAGTGGGATGGTCGGGTCGGAGGAGAAAATACATTATAAAAGAGGTTGTAACACATGCGCACGGGCAATTCCTTTGTTCACGTTTGAAATTATACATTTTACGTAAAAGCAGTAAAGTGAATTATAGTAAATCAAGTCATCATTGAAGTGTTTAATTTCCTATCCTAAGAACTAGATAAACTAGCCCTTAGGGAGCGTTCAAGTATTATGTCACGCAATTTTTGGAGATTATTGACCCCCCACCCCCATGTAACGCGCGTAACGTTTTCCTGCACCCAAGTATAGTAAAACGTTTCGTGACCACCTAGTGACTCTTTATACGTAAAAGTTACCATTGTGTTGTGTAAAGTACTGGAAAGTCGAAAATAATATTAAAAATAACGCGTAATTCAATCCCCGCCTCGCATCGTAACGTTTTACAAAATGACAACCTCCCAACAAACATCGTTACGTTATACTTGAATGCCCCCTTACACAATATATTCAGTGTTATGACGATTTCAGGGATCGGTAATGGCCTGTTCGTTTCTATTGCTCAATGGCAGCAAAATCAATGACCAAGATGAGGACGGGATGACTCCATTACACCTCGCTACCGAAGCTGGTCATACTGGACAGGTAATCAATAATTACTGTTTACATTAAATATATTTTTTGATGTAATTAGATTTTGAAGTACATATTGAATTCTTATCTTAAGTCACAATTATCTTGAGGGCTGTCAAATATGTCAAACCACTTTTTTGTAAAAAGTTCTAAGATTTAAGTTTTATTGACGTTATATAATAATAAAATAAAAAATAAATAAATAGCAGTGTTGGCCTATTGGCTCCAGCGTGCGACTCTCATCGCTGAGGTCGTAGGTTCGATCCCAGGCTGTGCACCAATGAACTTTCTTTCTATGTGCGCTTTTAACAGCTCCTACGGTGAATTAAAACATCGTGAGGAAACCGACATGTCTTAGGCCCAAAAAGTCGACGGCGTGTGTCAGGCACAGAAGGCTGATCACCTACTTGCCTCTTAGATTTAAAATGCGGGCCTGAATGGCAGAGAGAGAGAGAATTGTATACTTTAAATTGGCCATTAGATGGCGCTTTTTTAATTATTACCAATATGATTCAATATGACTGATCATAGGAATTAATGAAATAGTACTAATAGACAACAGTCGAGGCCATTTTAAAGAGTGACGTTACACTTTTTCTTTTTACGTTTTAGGTATGTCTGCTTCTCCGGTACCGCGCAGACCAAGCAATAGTGGATAACCAGGGACGGACTCCGCTCGATATAGCAGTCGAGCAGGCCAATGCGGATATCGTTACGTTGTAAGTGCTTTCCTTTCAATAAAAAAATAACACATGTACTTATAATTTTTTTTTTTGTGGCCGTTGTCACAGATTTCTGTATCCGAATATTTTTTTCTTAATAGGCAAGAATCAGTCTGCACGACATATCACATGTCGAATGATAATGTTACGAATCAGAAGTCCAGTTGCATAACCACGAGTCGAACGCACGATTTTAAAGTATATTATATATTTGGTACATTTTGTTTAAAAAAAATTATACCTTTAGTAGGGTAGTATTTTCCCGCTGTATTGCGATAGTAACACGTGATTAACGAACAGAAGCTTCCAGTACTGTTCGATGGCGATTTTTCCTTCAAATTACACCCTAACTAATCTCACGCAACCTCACCTCAACGCAGTATATAAAATTGCAGACAATTGCAACCCTAAAGCCGAATTTACATTACGAAACTAGTGTTATGCATGTTGGAATGAGTTTCATGAAAATAGTTGCAGCACGTGTGAAACTACTTTAACAAAAAATAATAGTGTCGTGAAATCAACAGTATCACCAACGACATGGCTCTGTCAACATCAAAGCTTCATTTTGCGATGCAGAACGTCGTGGTACAGATGTTAATATATAAAATTCGAAAATTATATTTTTATCAACTGACCAACGTTGGTTTGCCATTTTGGCGGTCATTTAGCTGCACGATGCACTCAAACACACACGTCTGCCCTGTGCAAATGCTTTCGCGACACTAGTTTCGTGTCGCGTTTTCATCGTGAAAGTAGTTGCGTGACATTAGTTTTACAAAAAATATGCGCATGGCACGAAATTTATCCAGTGTCGCGAAACCGATGCATGCATTATGAAACTGTAAATTTACACGTGAAATTGTTGATGAAATTTATGTCATAAAACTAATTCCGAGCCACTAGTTTCGTAATGTAAATTCGGCTTAAGGGGTAAGATTCAGAGTCGAGACATACTTTTTCGGCATGGCTCCTGTATTATTACTATTATTAGCCCTAAATCTAGACTCTAAATTCATCTAAAATTTAACTAAATTTCTCCTACATGTTAATTTGTGAAAGCTTACATACGTTGCCTGGAAAATATCTGGGTTGCCACCATTTCCCCAAGTCACATATAATGTGCGCCTTAAGCTTAGGTTTCCTAGAAAATCGGTGCCGTTAACTAACGGCCGTCATTTAACTGTTGTTAATAAAGGCCGTCTTTACTTTTTAACATAATGCAAAAAAACATCATTTTCGCTCGTCCAAGTCACGTTTCCACTCATTGTATTAATTAAATATGCGCACCGCACACGCGAAGAACGTTGAACTAATGTTTATCACCGCTATGACGGCCGTCATGCAAATGACAGCACCGCTATTTGACGTTACGGTGACACTCAACGTTTTCTGGAAAACCTACTCCGATGTTATTTATAGACAACGTATGGGTGACGTCACCCAACGTTACATTATGGCCGTTAGATAACGGCACCGCTTTTCTAGGAAACCTAAGCTTTACAGCTCGCACAGATTGCGTGCCAGCGCACCACTCGACAGATAGTTGAATTATATTTTCAGTGCAACGAAATATAATTAACATATACTAATATTTAATCTATGTAATATTTTAACAAATTCCAATTTTTTTTAGTTTTCTACAGAATATAACTTTTTGAATTATATATTTTTAGACTCCGCCTCACAAAGCTCAACGAGGAAATGCGTGAAAGTGAGATGTCCTCAAACGACGACACGTACAACGAGGTGTTCCGCGACTACACTCAGTTGGCCCACTCCCACCCCGAGAGGCTCGTACGGCCCAGGCATAACAATAATGACGGTAGGTTAGAAATAGTAACGTTACGTTACGTTACGCCTAGTGGCTTAAGCTGTGCTCCAATGGAAAGTGAGGAAACCAACCAACCCAAGCGCCACTGGATATATTATTTTTTGATGGCTCTGGCACGATTTGTGCATTAGCCAGCGTCAAATATAGGATTTTTTATAATTCGTGCTTGTCTTTAGAAATTCGACCGTGTCCTTCACGTGCGGTTTAAGCACTCGCCCGGTACCGCACAACCCTTCCAAAGGCCGAGAACAAATTTAAATTAAATTAAAACTTGCCCTCGGACCGGGAATTGAACCCGGTACCCCTCACCTAGCTGCCACTTAATAAGACCGCTAGGCTATGTGGCCTGGATATTTATTGTGATTTATAAAATAGGGTGTGAAAGACAAAGAAAGAGTTTTCATATTTTATATATAGTATTTGATAGTTTATTTATTTTAAAGAATGTAAGAATATCAACAGTGCTTTACCCCTGAGGTAGGTTCGAACCCCGGCTGTGCGCTAATGGACCTTTTATGTACGCATTTAACATTCGGTGGTTTATGGAAAACGTCGTGAGGAAACGGGGCTTAAACCCAAAAATCGGGGTGTGTCAGGAACCTAGAGAAGGCTAATCTACTATTAAGAAACAGAATTATGAGAGAAATGGGTGTAGTAATTGTAGTTAATAATTATGTGCCTACCTTCATTCTCTAAATTAAATATGTTATTATTACAATGAATTTTTTAATTAATGTTTAGATGCGTTGCCGCCTTTTGACTACCTTATTATTTAAATACCCAGTTAACGCGTTTAGTCCAGCTTTGATACTTTCATTTGTAAGCATTTCAATCATAACCTGCAATCAATCCTCTTCCCCTCGGACCGCGAAAGCGTTAAGACGTGTAAGCTTACGTAAAATATTTTATAAAATTAAATATAATATCTTGTCCGCAAATTTGGTGAAGTACCAGGCGCCCATAACGCGCAAGAAGTCAATTAACTACGGGTGAGAAGGACAACAACAGTGAACGAAACAGTTTCGTGAGCTACGCTTTACTTTGCGTACGCGCCGATGCGACGCTAGAATAAAGCTGTGCGTGAGTCATATTAATTAATCGCTTAGTGCAATTTAAAGGCGAAAGCGGTAGCGGAGCAAAAAATAAGGGTCTGGCCCAATTATAAATTCATATTCAATTTTGTGTTTTCCCAATTAGTGAATTTATAAGATGCCAAAAGTTCAACGCTCTCCTATGGCCAATAAATCACAAAGTGTTTCTGAGCCAAACGTCGACAAAATGGAAACTTTTCACACAGACCTTTACGGTGACAATGAACCACCGAGCTATGTTCAACAACGTCAAAAAAGGGCTAGAGAGCATGGATTTGAGGATGAATTATTAAGTTTTAAAAAAGAGATGAAAGGCATGATTAAGTCATTGTTTGCGGAACAACAAAAAGAGCTTAAAAAAATAACGTCTGCCCAAGTAGAGATCAGAGAGAGTAATACCAACATAGAAAGTAGCCTTGCATTCCTCTCATCGCAACATGAAGACCTTAGGAAGAAAATAGAACAGCTTGAAGTACGTTTAAAGCAAGACAGAGAACAAATTATAATTTTAGAGGACAAGCTTGAGGAATTGCAGCGGGAACAACGTAAGGCTAATATTGAAATAAAAAAATATGCCAAAACTACCCACAGAATCAAAGGAAGACTTAATAAACATGGTTGTAAGCTTATCAAAATCCCTGAATAGCGGTATTAAAAAAGATGATATCAAAGACATATACAGGCTAAAAGGGAAAAGAGATTCTAATAAAACGAATACTCCAATAATTGTTGAGTTATCATCCTCGATTCTTAAATCAGATTTACTAAAATCTTGTAAAACCTACAACATCAAAAATAAAGAAAAGCTACGAGCGAAGCATCTGGGAGCTACTAAAAATGAAGAAACTGCAGTGTTTATCTCCGAGCAGCTCACTGCGAAAGGCGCTAGACTACACTTTCTCGCTCGCGATCTAGCTAAATCAAAAGACTACAAGTTCTGTTGGACTTCTTACGGACGTGTTTACCTAAGAAAGAATGAAAACACCCCGGTAATTAAGGTCAAAAACGAATCACAGGTACACAGCCTCATGCAGGCATGACTCTTTAACTATTGTCCTTTTTTTGTAAATTTTTTTTCTTGTTATCCCATTATTAAACAGTTTTTTTAAAAAACAATAGTCACAAACCTTTACACTACATATACTATTTACACTCACGCACTGATACACTCACATATATTAAACACTATTCTAGTGCGATCTCACTTTATCTCATGGCTCATGGCTACAAACACGTCACAAGTGATTATAAACATTTATTCAATCTCGGCTTTACTGCGAATTTCTTATCCCAAGTAAATTATAATTTATCGAAGTGTACGGAAAGTATCTGGTTACTCATTTATGGATAGTCAGACTACAATCATGTACGAATTAGATAACATACAAATAGCCCAATCTAATGTCCATACTATAAATGACTTTTCAAGACAGACAACCATACAAAAATCTGATTTCACGATAATATCACAAAATATAAGAAGCATTTACAATAATTTTGATGATCTTTTAATAACTTTATCGGAGTTCAAATTTCAAGCTGATGTAATAACACTGACCGAGGGATGGATCGACCCACACAAGCCTATACCCCAAATGGATAACTACACTCACTTCGTTACAAGCCGCCATCTAAATCGTAGTGATGGCGTAGTTGTCTACATAAAATGCAACCATAAAACTATCGTTCAAGAAATAAATTTAAAACATGCATCTTGCTTACAAGTCAAAGTAGGTAACTATACCATGTTGTGTATTTATCGCTCCCCGTCTAACCTTAACGCTGAAAATTTTATAGATTCATTAAATAGTCACTTAGTAACTTTACAAACTCAGAATAACATTATAATAACAGGAGACATCAACATAAATCTAATACAAAAATCCAGTGAAACATCTCAGGAGCGCTCGAACCGATTACATTACCTCAATATGCTAGCCATGCATGGCCTGCTCCCGGGTCATACACTGCCTACTCGAGATAGCAATTGCATAGATCATTTCATACTAAAACTTGATAGGTGCATAGGTACGTGTGCGTCTATTACCGTTATTGATACTACAGTTACTGATCACAAAATGTTATTCTTAAAACTATCCTACCTCGCTAAGTCGAATTACAATACCTCGAAAATTAAATCTTCAATCAACATGGAAGGCGCTTTAAGTTATTTAAAAAACAGCAACATAAATGATCTAATTTACTATAATAACCCTATAATCTTAACTAATAAATTAATATCTATTTTAAAGCAGTGTATTCAATCCAATACTATCACTAGAGCTATCCCGAATAGGGAACGCCTTATTAAACCATGGATTACCTTAGGAATTGTTAGATGTATTCGTAATAGAAATGCTATGCAAGCAAAACTCCGAGCTGATCCTCATAATGAAATTCTTAAAATTACATACAGGAGATATAGGAATTTCTGCAATAGTTTAATAAAGAAAGTCAAACGTAAATATGAAAAAGAAGACCTTGCCAAGAGTATAAAAAACCCAAAAACTTTGTGGAAGAAAATAAATACCCTCACTTATCGTAACCAACCTAAAACGCAAAATCTAGAATTACTAAATTTAAATGTTTCTCCTCAAAAATCGGTTAATTTGGTAAACGATTATTTTTCAAACATTGGTAAAAACTTAGCTAAAGAGATAATTCCAGTTACGACGTTACATAATAGAACAGATGTGATTAGACCCAACTGTTCCCAGGTCTCGTCTTTTGTGCTTCTAGAAACTGACCCTCATGAAGTATACCTGACTATTGTGAGTCTCAAAACTGACAGTGCTCCTGGCTGGGATGGTATAAGCACCAAGTTTCTTAAATATACTAGGGAGCTAGTTGTGCCCATAATTACTCATTTGGTTAATCTCTGCTTCCGACAGGGAGTGTTTCCACCTGCGCTAAAACAAGCAATTATTACACCTGTGTACAAGAATGGTAACAGAGAAGATGTTTCAAATTATCGCCCAATCTCCGTTCTCACTGCCATATCAAAAGTACTTGAAAAATTAATTAATAAAAGACTAATTACCTACCTCCAGAAGTATAGTCTACTTTCGGACTCACAATTCGGTTTTAGACAGGGTCTGTCAACCGAAGATGCAGTTACCTCACTATCTTGTCATATTGTTAATGAAGTTGATAAAGGTAATAAATGTATCACAGTTTTTATCGACTTAAAAAAGGCATTTGATACGGTTTCTGTCCCTATTCTGGTGCAGAGACTAGAGAACATTGGTATTAGGGGTATTCCACTCACATTGTTCGCTGATTACCTCAGTGAACGAAAGCAAGCAGTTAAAATAGGTCAATACATCAGCGAACAATCTGACGTCACATATGGGGTCCCACAAGGTAGTGTTCTGGGGCCGACCTTATTCTTAATCTACATAAACAGCTTATGCGATTTAAGAATTGATAGTGGGAAAGTCTACTCCTACGCGGATGACACTGCTGTTGTCTTCACTGGGAAAACTATTGACTCGGTGCGTCGACATACAGAAATAGGGCTTTCCAAAATAGATAACTGGTTAAGAGAAAACTTATTATCATTAAACGTAAGTAAAACTAACTACATTTTCTTCACTAAATACAATAGCGCCCAACCTCAAACAGATCTAGAAATAAAAATACATAACTGTAGCACCAGAGTAAACTGTACATGTAAAACTATAAATAAAGTTCATCACACTAAATATCTAGGAGTGGTAGTTGATCAAAGAATGTCATGGCATGAGCACCTAGAACAAGTTATAAGTAGGATTCGAAAGCTTATTTGGACATTTAAAACTCTAAGGCACATCGCTGACAAAAATCTACTAATACAGATATACACATCGCTGGCTCAGTCAATTTTAGTGTACTGTATCCCAGTTTGGGGGGTGCTACAAAGATGAAGTTCCTGGATCTGGAGAGGGCACAAAGAATTTTACTAAAAGTAATGATGTTTAAGCCTTATAGATTTTCCACCTCTGATCTTTATGCCTCTTGTGGTGTCTTATCGGTCAGGCAACTGTACATTTTTTGCACTACCTTAAGATTGCACAAGTCTCTTAAATATGATGGTCGCAAACTGAGCAAAAGACGCAAATATACTGTTGCTCCTGTTGAGAGATCTAAATCAGTTTTTGCTATGAGACAATTTCAATGCCAAGCTGCTAAACTTTATAATAAATTAAATAAAATATTAAATATATACACATTGAATAAACATGAATGTAAAACGTCGCTACTTAACATCCTAGAAACATTTAGCTATGAAGACACTGAAGCCTTTGTAGGTAATCATGAATCATAATACACTAGTAATTAGTCAACTTCTACAATCAGTCATGAAAATTCATTCTCATAAACACACAAACACACACACACACATACACATACACACATATATCATTATTCACATTTTAACCTTAGATTATGTTTAGTAAATTGTAAAATTGTAATACTTAGCTTAGCTATACGTGTTAAATTAAATTATAATTAGTTGGTACACCTATGTAATGGAAGAGCGGGTTCTCCTAACACAAGTGCTTATGCGCTTAAAAGGAGGTCCCAATCACTTATCAGCTATTGTAAAATCCTTGAGATAACGAATAAAATTCTTTATTATTATTATTATTAGTTTTTTTGGGTTTTCTTCAAAAAGAATCAGATCATCCGCAAAGCGAAGGTGG